GGTGACAGCTACACATGACAGCAAGAAAAATGTTTTCAAACACTAAATTTTAGACAAGCGTTTGTTCAAATGAAAACTCCTAGATGTACTATGATTTTTATTAATAAATTACACTGAACATCGAACTAACACAGTCATATTTATTGCAGTAATTTAAGTCATCAATTATATTTTCAAGTATTGGTTCTTTTAGGGATTTTGTTTGATTGCATGGAGGATTTCATCATGAGATGACATCATTCAGAGAACCACTGGAAAACCTGGGAGTAGTGGACAGCTGGACAACTCCTGAAGAGTCCCAAACTAGGACGAAACAGATGTCCACTACTTCCAGGTTTTCCAGTGGTTCTCTGAATGATGTCAGCTCATGATGAAATCCTCCATGCAATCATCGATTATTTGATGTATTGTATGAGCTTCCAGTAAAACACATTTATTCATCAATAGTGACTGAAGTAAAAGAAAGTTTACAAGTTGTCATTTATCTATTTATTAAATTTTTTCTCAGTAAATTTATCTGAAATGACTTTTACCTTCATACTGGAATTATTTCGAAAAAGTTACTGACTGCCACACAAGTGGATGGACACAAAATAGCTTGTGATAGAAAATGATCACCGGCTAGTTAAAATACAATGTGGTTTGTGAATAGTCTAGTTGATAGTTATAATAAAAATTCTTTACGAGCTGCTGGCATTTGTTCATTATTTTAAAAAATGAAACATCTTTTCTTTTCAGTCAGAGAGGTTTTAAGTTTTTGGTTTCCGTGCTTTTCTATTTCACTAACCCTAGACTTAACTGATTTCGTAACTCTTTTACCACTACCTGCGCTGGATGTACGGATATCACCTATCCAGTTAATCTCCTCAAATATATTGTGAAACACTGATATATTAAGGTATAACGACCTTCTATTTATCGGCTTCTTTGGTTTCACTTGGTACTGTTAGGTTTCATTAGTAGTCTTCCCTGTTTCTGTTTCTTTGTTTGATGTGCGAATGTCGAGTCGAATAAATAAAATCAAGGCATAATTAAACCAATTCAATTTATGTTAATTTCTGCCTGCATCTTTTTGATCCTATAAGATGTAAGTTATTTATTATTATGCAGTTGTCGATATAAACAACCATTCATCTGCTTTGCAAGACTGATGAGGTATTTTTAATGTCGCTTATCAGAATAAGTTAATTCTATTCATCTGAGTTTCCCCTAATTACCAGTACAATTATTACTGCTGACTGTGAAGCCCTATTTATAAAATATACGAGTGCATAACATATTTTTGAAGAACAAACAACTATTCCTACATCAATTATAAATGACATAAATACAGGATTACCATTCGGATATTTTAGCAGAGTGAAATATTAGTTTTCCTTCTCTTTTTCTTGATGTTTCTGATAAGGAAGCAGTATTAATTACTGGATAACGTTTCATAGAGAACTTATTCCTCCTAGTCATATGACATTTTCCATAGGGCAGATAGAAAATCCAATGTGATCTTTTGTGCATGTATATATATATATATATATATACGAACATTGACTACTTCTTACATTATTGTTTTCAATTTCAATTCCAACGTTCCATAGTTTGTTTGACAGGTGAAAGAACAGCTTGCCTGTCGCTTTACTACTAAGTGAATAATTCACTGCCAATAAACAGACAGAATAATTGTATATCCTAATTAAAAATGGCTAAGACCGGGAGTGGATTAAAAGGTTTGAACCAATAATAGATATTTGTCATTTCGGCATACGAATGAATGCAAGTTATGAAATCTACAAGTATTTGTAAATTTCTTTGTGTAAATATAACCTTCGAATCCCTTATGTGGGAGGTCAGACGTACAGGTATCTTAATATCTGCCATGCAAATTAGCGAGTCAAACAGTTTCTGAAAATAATGTTTTACTTTTGTGTTGTTTTGTCATTTTTCATTCATTTCTATAGTGTTTGAGACACAATTCAAAAATATCTATTTATCTCTGTTAGTGATAGTGTAAATTTCCTGAAAGAAATGTCAACGATTGACTGAGAACTCTTAGTCAAGCTTACCTTATTACTTATATAGTCAGATACTTCACCATTACTATTTATAAGGATTTTGCTTAAATAAGGAAAAAAGAAGACATAACTTATCATCACAGTGCGATAAATGTGTACGAATATATAGGGAAGAATCAGTTTCCCTATTAGTCTTAAGGTTTCACCCGATCTTTACTGCCACTGGAAACTTTGCTTTATTCACCAAAGATTACGCAATCACAGTTACCACAACACTAGAGACGTCATTTGTTCCGACATTTTATGCTGATTACTCGGGTTTTAAAATTATGATTACTGCAAATACTTGTCAGAACGTGAATTTCAGATATTTATGAATATTAGTAAAGTATTGCTTTCTTTGTGTCACATCATCTTTAGCCACCGTTTTTAGTATTAGAATCTTAAGCGTACTAAACATTATCGCTCCCGACCCTACACCTAAACAGTACCGCGGAAGTCAGTATGTTTGTAGTGTTATTCACTGGACAGCGGCAAACCCTCACTGTTACATGTTAGATTCATCGGTCAGACTTAGATACGTAGGCACGAAGATGAAAAAGATGCCTGTTGTGCAGTTCTAGCTACCGTCTACCTGAAGAATTTCTACCACTTCAAAATAAAATAACGAAAAGTGAAAATCCGGTTTAAATAAAGCATCCGTCTGCATAGCTACCAGCTTTACGCCTAAACTGTGTTTGCAAATACCACCTAATATGCTGAAGCCGACTAAAAAAGTACACTCAGTGGTCAGAGACCATTGAATGTATGCTTTGAAGTTGACTTCACCGATTCTAATATAGTATTTTCACTTCATTTATGTTAATTTTTGACCAATCATATGCTAATATGAAGAATGAATATAAGGACATAAGTTCTTACGCTGTCGCATTCAGTAAACTGTCTGAAATCTAGAGAATTATTTGACAATGTTTTCTGTTTTTTCTAATACAGTGATAAAACTGTATGGTGCTGAAAAACCACTGTTTTAAAGTGTCTATCAACACAGAGTTCAGTCCTCCTAGTGCTACGGTAATTCAAGTGGTTTTACGTCTATTTAAATATATATTGTTCTGTGACTTAAAAGCTGTTCGAACCAATGAAATACAAGAAGTTTGTAGATGTATTGTTCAAAGGAAGTCCAATATTTTCAATAAAGAAAGGAAGACGAAATTTGCAGTATAAAATGATATCATTCTATTTCACAGGCTCTCATCAGCTGCAGACTACTTGAAATTACAATGGTTATATAGATGATAATAACAAACTTTAATGTTTGAGTGGTGATAGAGAAGAGATACTACAAAATTGACGCATCTAAATGAAAGCATTACAATGTTTTTAGTTTAAGATTTCATCATCAATTTATACGCTTTCAAAGTGGAAAAGTGGTGGGAGGGTAAAGCAGAAAACAGAAAAATTGATTAACAGAACAGTGTCAGCTTGTAGGTTAACATAGCTACTCAAAAAACAAAAGTGGTTACAGTTTATGAGATTAAAATTTGTTCAGTGAGTTGAGATCACTGAACTAGATGATTAATCAAAATCAAAATTCTGTTACCAAGGGAGTGAGAGGTTAATCACACTCTCTTTCTGTATGCATAAGTCTGGTTTAACTCTTTTGATTACGAGTGCTTCGGCAAATAGTAGTAAATTTGCTGTCCTTTGTCTATTTAATATTTTGAGGACAGAAAGAAGGGCTTCTATCGAGTTTTCTGAACATATTACCCAAAAACCTGTGCCTAAAAGGAAGCAGATATTCCCAGAGTGCAATTACCAGACACATTATTGATACCGGAAATCTCGTAGAGATTTCTAAGTCCTTCAAAATATTAAATAGACAAAGGACAGCAAATTTACTACTATTTGCCGAAGCACTCGTAATCAAAAGAGTTAAACCAGACTTATGCATACAGAAAGAGAGTGTGATTAACCTCTCACTCCCTTGGTAACAGAATTTTGATTTTGATTAATCATCTAGTTCAGTGATCTCAACTCACTGAACAAATTTTAATCTCATAAACTGTAACCACTTTTGTTTTTTGAGTAGCTATGTTAACCTACAAGCTGACACTGTTCTGTTAATCAATTTTTCTGTTTTCTGCTTTACCCCTCCCACCACTTTTCCACTTTGAAAGCGTATAAATTGATGATGAAATCTTAAACTAAAAACATTGTAATGCTTTCATTTAGATGCGTCAATTTTGTAGTATCTCTTCTCTATCACCACTCAAACATTAAAGTTTGTTATTATCATCTATATAACCATTGTAATTTCAAGTAGTCTGCAGCTGATGAGAGCCTGTGAAATAGAATGATATCATTTTATACTGCAAATTTCGTCTTCCTTTCTTTATTCAAATTTATCAAGGGAATCCAATATTTTGGTTAAAACCTGTTGGATGGGTTTTATTTCTAGCAACAATACGAGTAAGAAACTGATAAGTGATTCTGAAAGTAGCTGTGTATTCATTCTGAATTGGATTTCGTAGTGCATAGCATAACGTCGACTGAATCACATTTTCATTAGATTCATTTCAACTGAATTGTAAAATCTCTCTAAAATGACTACTAATACTGTTATTTCATGTTTATATGTCCCATAATAATAAACAATAAGTGTTATTTTCTTAAACACATAGTCATTATGATTGGGTTATAAAGTGGGTGAACATTATATCCAGTGCTTTTTTACAGGTATTGATGAATAACCCTGTGTACTCACATTTGTCCCTTCCAAGTAACGTTCGCTCTGGTGGCTCAGTAAATACTGCTTCTTTACATTAGACTTATGATGTTGCAAGTGCTCATTGACTTCAAATATTTGTTTCTAGAGCTTCCTGATAGATGGCGCCAATCAAATAAACTGAAGAGTAATTTGTATTTCTCAGTATCTATTAACGAGGATTACACATATTATCCTAAGCTTCAGTTTGTTTTTTGCATGGTTTACAGGAAGGGGTGTTTCCGAAGAAGATACATTATTAGCAAGAAGTGATAAAAATGCCATCGATTTTGCATTCGATTACAGTAAACTATGGTGTAAGACGTGTAAAGATCTTGTCTTGACTTTGGAAAAACGAGCAGCTGCCGGTAAGAAACATGAATGCGTTAGTATTTTTTATCTGTATATTTCAGTCATTTAACCTGCTTTATTTTAGAAGTTTAACTTATCATTGCCTTCGACCTTTACCTGTAGTATTACTTTTCAAGTTTTAGTAGAAACTGTTGACATTTTCCACATTGCTGTCAGGATTTAAATGACCTGAAGTTGGTACATTAAAACTAAAGATTTTGTCGGTCAATTTACCTATATTTTTATCCTAATAAGTAGTAACAGTTGGAAGAATATTACTACTGTATGGATGACGTATAATTCTATCATTCTGAGATTGTCCTTTTGGCATCCACAATGATACACATATCTGAATCGGTCATCTACCATCTGTTTAAAAATGATGGGGATATCTATTAATGAGGGCTACTTATAATACTCATTAGTGCATTCAACTAAGTACGAAATAATAATTTAGTGGATTTCTGAAGCAAAGTACACATAGAGAAGCAAAGTCTATTGAGTTCTTTATCTTTTTCCCAATGGCAAACAACTGCACTAAAAACTACATAGTCCATCTTCAACATCTATCTGTTGACTGATGTTTTAAAATGGATACGATAGCAAAACGATTTGTTTCGTCCCAATGTGTATGAGATAGGTATATACATATATTTATATTATTATATATATGATGAACAGTGCGATGTCTTTTAGAAAACACTTTTAGTTAATATTTAACCAGTAAGGCTGTTGCTGGTAAAACGAAGGACAGATTACTATGAAAGTGAAGGGAGTCGAATAGACAGGGGAAAAAGAACTTTCTTTTGACTTCTAAATGTTTGAAAGGGAATTTTCGCTGTATTCGTAATACGCCATACCGATGGTATTTACAATTACTGGACTTAATTCAAGACTTAGTATTCTCTCATTGTCCGTTTTAATTTGTTCTGATAAAAATCATGTCTGTCATAACTAATCTTCTTACTGTCTAAATAATAATAATAATAGTAATAATAATAAAAGCAATCGAGTGTTTTAAGTGCAAATGATAACTGATTAGTTCTCATTTGTATAGGTCTACATGTATATTTGCATGCATATTTAATGCTATAAATAAAAACAATTGTCGCTGATAATCAAGAATAAACCATTAGTTTTTGGACGATGGGAAAACAAATAGGGTTTGCTTCACCATGATCTAAGCAACGAAATAAATAGAAAACTCTGTGAAAAATATACTATGATGTATTATGTAAAATGGTCAGATAGTCAGTGCGTCGGTGGCACAGTCGTTAGGACTTTTGCCGACCATGCACATGGTCCAAGGTTCGATCCCTGCCGACGCACATCTGATATCTATGGTCGGTCTGCAAAATTTGGGCTACCGATATCCATGCTGAAAATACCATACTTGTACCAAAAATACATTGTGGAATCAAGCTGTAATCAAAAATAAAAATAAAAAAAAATAAAATAGAAAAATGCTCTCTCTCTCGTGCGTCGGTGGCATGGTGGTTAGGACACTCGCCGACCATGCACATGGTCCAGGGTTCGATCCCCGGCCGGCGCACTCCTTTCCCTCGCTAAGCCAGAAATAATGCTGGTAAGGAGGAAAGGTTAGGCACGAGGCTAGGAACCCCATCCTGTAAAATAAACACTGTTATAGAAACTCCATGCCACTAGTTTGAAGCCCTGTGTTCTGCTGAGGAACGTCAAGGAAATAAAATCGGGGTTTAAATTAAATCGGTCGTAATGGCAATCTCATGAACACCATATGTGGCAGATACGGATGAATTAATTATCACTTTTTATCACACTAAAAAAGTGTTTACTGCTGTGTAATACAGTCATTTGAAAGCAGATACAGTTAAGCAATACAGTACCTTGCAAACGGAATCTATCTCTGGTACATTACATGTTGATAAACCATTGATCTCTTTCGGTATGGTCTGCGAACACCATTCATTATTTTGAATTGGGAATAAACGTGAAGATCATAAATTTGAACAAAGTTTCTTCATGAAATAGCCTAAAAGAGTAGTCGATTGAACAATTTAACCTTAAAATATAAATGATCTGAGTCAGCTAAAAAGAGCTTCAAATCTTTCCCCAGAATACAATTAAATGGACTTATCACTCTTCTTAAAATTTGCCTGATATTTCATCAACTAATATTTCTCTGAACCAAATATGTTGAAGTTGACTGATTAGTTTGATCTGAAAACTCAATTAGTAGCATATTCTCAAGCTAGAAATGTAGTGAAGTCTCAAGTGTAAAACGGTGAGTGCCATCTTCAAGTTTTACTAGAAATTTAAACTCTAAAATATCTTTATAGCCAGTCGAAATACATCAGAGAAAAAGAAGGGTATATTCTGATACTGAACAATAACTATTATCATGTAATATGGAATAAATCATCACTTCTCAGTTGACCAGTGAAGTGATCCAATGTGGTTGAGATAACTAACCAAAATGCCAAAGCGTTCATTTTCTTACTTTATAATTTTATTCATTATATAAATATAAATATATTGCTTTTAATTATTAAGACTTTCTACAAAGCATTTACGTTTTCCATTCTAACAAAAACTGTCAACCGATCATCGATAAACATCAGAGAATGACTGCACGCGCGCAATTATGAAACAGTTCCAGATTTTAGAATCGAACACTAACAGCATGGTAAGTATACATATATATATTCTTTTAGCAATTGTATGTTATGGAGTAGTAAAATCAGCTGTCAAATTATTTCCATTGTGAGTAAATTTTGCCCACAATGAAAATAAAATTCTACCACATTGCACAAGTTCTATTCTTATATCGATGTCAGATTATTTGCCAGTAACACTAAAGCAAATGCAGTTCTAGTCTATTAGCTCATCTTATAACCTTAGGGATTTGGGAGTCAACAGTCGAATAAGGCAGACTTAGGAAGGAAAAATTACGACAGGACACATGAAAAGAAATTAAGCATTCTGTCTTTCTATTGTTATCTCGGCGTAACAGATTTACATATTTGACGCTGATGTGCTCAATAAGAATAGGAAGTTGGAATATGTATATCTATATATAGATCTGCCACTGATTGAAATGATCACTTTTCGTGCCAACACGTAATATTAATTCGAAACTATTTTATCACCAAAACATTGAGAAGCAGAGTATTCAAAAGCGGGAAAAAATCAGTTCCACCTAAAGCATAAAATAGACTGGTCAGCTGTTCAACACATCACGTCCTCTTGGAAAATCAATTGTAGTCTAGTTTTATTAGAATTCTTTGAAGATCTAACGGCCATAAGCTCCACCGATTAAGCCAGTGTGGTTTGATGCTTTGATGTGAAGTTCTCAATGCAGTTTGAAAACACTAGAAACAGTGTCTTTCTGGCTTTAAAGGTTATCAGTTAAACCAAACAACTCAGGAAGCACAAGATTATTCACTTAAACAACAAATCTGGTCTGCTATTTCGATTAAAATCTATTATTAGCCTATTCAGTTTATCATATAATAGGCTGGGTTATTCAATTCAAGTGCATACTAGAATGTTCTGGTTTGTTCTTTTATTGGGTGTGATAGGTAAGATAGGGTGAACGCTTGCTTACAGTCTGATTTAACATGCTTGTATGACATCATTGTACGATAATGCTGTTACTCTGTAACTCCTTTGTTCAGTGGCTTATCTCATAGATTCATAGTGTTTTCCTAAATAACTTCATATTGTGAAGTGCTAAAATTGATGATAAAAGTTCCCCGAAAATTCAAAGGTAATTTTTTCAATTATCGTAACAAATGGTAGGTCAGCCAACACTTGACTTCTTTTCAACGAATCTTCAAGGTATCCACCAATTTAATCGGTAACTCCTACCGAAGTTATATTAAGATTTTCATTAATTTAATTTTTGGGAGTTATTTTATGTATCATCTGTTGTAGAATGGTGCACCGTTCAAGAGACAGACTATCAATTTATCTCGCACAGTAAGTTATTAGGTTTTGTTAATCCAATAATTTAAAATATTTTGTAATACTCATGACCACAGGAGCAGTTTTCATCAAACCAAGAGGGATAAGATTTACTCATTTTGTTTAGAGGCTTCTCTTGGTCTACCGACTACTCAAATATATTCATATGACTAGTAGCAGTACATATTTTTTGCCAATAAGCAATAAGATTATAGTTTTGCACGACGGTAGCGAGTAAAATGACATTCTGAACATTCCATTTGTCTGGAAATGAAACTTGCTATTTACAATTAGTTTGCATAACGACTCGATAAGAGTTTTAGTAAATGGTTCAAAACATAACATTATTTACCTAACAACATAATTAAGAAGACTGCAGAATAATATACAGAAAAACATTTGGAATTGAGCTGCTATTAAATGACTTAAAATTAGTGAGTGAAATAACAATAATAATGTTACGAGATAATAGAGAAACATGTATACGTTCAGAAATTATAATAAGAATAGGGTGAAATCAGCCGTAATGTCCTTCTTTGTTCAAAGATTAGGTTGAAGTTGCTTGATAGCAGAATCAAGTAAAGGCTGGTTGATTATAGTAAGGGCACTCGACGCACGCAATTTTTCTCAGGAATTGATCGGAGGTAGGAAGACTGCACAACAGAGAGTTTCGGAGATAACATCTTATCGGAGTTATCGTTCAGAAAACTTTTGCATTTGTACGCAGCATATCAAATTACGTGTAGCTGTCTGCATAACACACTGTTTATTAAATAATTTATCTAGGGGAAAATTATTCTACCTATGCTTAGCTGAAACTATAGAAGTTAACTGCAGTAAGCTGAACGTGCATCTTCAGATAAGAAGAATCAACCTTATTTTTGTCCATCCTTAAATGTTAGAAGGTAAACTTACATCTGACTAGTTTTAAGACATTTTATGTCTCTCTTATAATACTCTTCAGAAACATTTGTTTACTCATTAAATATAGCTGAACTCATTTATAAACATCAAACGGTTATCATGGACAGTAGCACTAATCATAAATAAAAGTAGCCCTGTTTTATCGTTCAATTCTTTGATCTTATTATTTCACTGATATTAGACCATCCCTTAAAACCAGCACCGCTTTTGTTGTAACAGGCTAAAACATTAATTGTTTGCGATAGGACATTGAATGGCTGCTCTGTCTTACTCTGAAACTTTTTCGCAGTACAAAACCACTATCCGATGAAGGATACAACCTGAGGCCCTAAGGATATTACCATTCAGTCGTAATTCAAACTTGCAAACTCAACAACCGAAAGCATTCTGATCACTTGATCTTCTAACCTACACAAGTGTTTAAACTTGTTTTCGCAGTTTAATTAAATATTTTATACGAATTTTTCACATGAAATAAACAAAAGCTGATATAAACGGCCCTTCAGTGGAATAGCTGACGTTACCATGTTATCGTGGTTTATGCATGAAGTAGTATCGGTTTAATAAGTTGAATAGGTGATGTCAATATGCAAAAATTAGTGTCATTCCTGTGCTAAGATTAAACACCTTCACAATAAAATAATTACCTCTTCAAGGAAATTCCAAAGGGCTCTAAGTAGTAGAGATGAACAAATAGGATAGATGAATAGAATCATTAGCAGATAAAAGTAGCTTTTTGTCTAAATTACAATAAGATGATGACTGGATAGTGATTTTTCCGTTCAACACATAATTTGTTTGTTAAATCTTCATTACGTTGTCATTTAGATTTCGTTTCATTTAAATTTACCTAGAATGAATCCAACAGATGATTTTCAAGATAACAAGCTATGATTTGAAACAGTTATCCCCTATACTAAATTTGCACAGTGTTATTAAAAGACTATGATTATCTGGAAAATGTGATATGTTTGCGCAACACGCCTCGAACAATCTGATCTCATATTTACTTTTCATTTCAGTTTATATGAAAAATAAAGGCCGATTAAAATAAACAGTGATAAGGGATTTATGAACAAGAATAATAAGACTAATTAACATTATGTTTGGCTACATAATCTATCACAAGCCTCAAAATACTCAGGTGATTACGTCACACCCTCTACTATGTACCAATTTGTATGTGTGTGGTCACACATGCATAAAGATCTATATGTAATCGTGTTTTACACCTGAGGGTGGGAAATCATATACCCAGATGGTTAGAAAAACAAATGAACTGGGAAAAATTGATGGACGTAGATGGCAAACTGCCAACTTTGTCTACAGTTAAACACTGAATCGATATGCATCACAAGGCTGATGTCAAAACAGATTTTAAGGTTTTCAAGTGTTGGTTTGTAGGGATTTGATTGGTTTCACGATTTCATCATGAGCTGACATTAGTTAGAGAACCATTGGAAAACCTGGGAGTACTGGACAGCTGTTTCGTCCTAGTTTGGGACTCTTCATCAGTACGCACCCACCGGGATTTGAACCCAGGACCTTCCGGTTACAAGGCGAACTCGTATACCATTAAGCCACTGGGACCCGATTCAATGGTCCTTGAATTCTAACTTCTGCCAATTCACGACATAGCGCGACCGCTAGCCAATGTCTTCGGCGAGGTTGTTTATAAAAACAACCAGTGGTGTTTATTGAAATACGCAGAGGCGATTTCTATTCATAAACTTTAGCCCTTTCGTTAATGTACAAAAACAATCCATTATCACTCTTAACCTAACTTCGTAACCTTTGTCTGATTATGTAAATAAACGTAGTGTTAACTAGTCTTATTTTTCTTATTCATAAATCCCTTATCACTTTGTTTATTTGAATTGGCCTTTATTTTTCATATAAGCTGACGTGATATGTAAATGTGTGATCAGATCGTTTGAGATATACAGAGCAAATATATCACATCTTTCAGATAATCTCAGTCTTCTAATAACACTTTAATGAAGTTGATCTTTCTCTTATGATTAGTTGAAATCTGTTACCCTAACAGAGTGATTTTTAGTGGAATTTGAAAGGCAAAACTGATGTATACTTGTTAAATCAATTGCTGTTTCCCATTAGAAATTAAATAGGATAAACGCTTACTGGGAAAAATTTTATGTGATTTCTGAAGTATACTTTATACTTCCTTATTAACTGAACTTTAATTTATAAATCAATCAATATGATTTTCTTTTTATTGCTTCTATAGTCAATAAAACCATCACCTCGACAATGAAATATATTTAAAATGCACTATATATATATATATATATATATATATATACATATATATACATATATATATATATGTATATAATGACTCCTCCAAAACACTGTGCAATGAACCTATTAACTGAGATTTTACTTATCTTTAAGGCCAGTTATATCACAGTTGAGATAAATGAAATAAATAGTGGATCAAATTAGTGGTCTTCAAACATAGTAGGAGGTTCATATAGAACCATGAAAGGATTTAATCTATTTTTTTAAATTACTGATATTCTAGTGTAACCTAAGTTATTTTCAAAATTTGATTTTGACTGTGCTTTAATTATCACTTTTATAAGCATTGTGGGTTCAAGTCTTTACACAAGGTTGCTGGGTACTCCTATAATGATGTCATGAAGCCTTGAAGTTGGATTTTATTTTCGGATACATCACTAAGATGTGTCCGTATCCAAGCAGGAACCCATTTTTTCAGTTCGAAAATACTACATTGCTCACTGCTGTAACATATTACCATGAAGTGAAGTTGATCACATTTCGCAAAATGTTATTTACACACTAAATATAATTTTTGGACAGTGACATTTCAGTTGACTGTGACTTCTGTTTATATAACAGGTATTAATTGAAACATAGTGTCCTAAAGCTTTTTCTACCATCATATGTAGAACGTTTTGCATGATATTGCAGTCTCAACAGCACTTACCAGAACAGCAATTATTTTTTCCAGATGACTGATCACTGTAAGGAAATAGAAGCCAACAATTCGAAGAGATGCAGAGAGTTATTAGAAGTAAGTAAATTTTATAACCACTTTCGCTTTATATACTAGGATTACTTGAATATGAGTTTTTACTGCTTACATAATGATTATCATTCGCTTGCTAATTTGTGCTTCCCAGCATCAGGTTTGTTTTAACGGCATAACTTAGTGTATTTTTCACAGGGACGTAATTTCTCCATACTCGTGTGTATATTTCTAAGAAATTTCCCCCGGAGACGATAGCGTACAAATATCTGTTGCAATTTCTTTTGTCAACTGATTTGTTGGTGCACATCTGATGTCTTTGATCATCACCCATTGATATGATTTTCGCATCTTTTGACCTGGCTCATGTTAAAAGTTTAGCCTTCACTATATGCAAATTTGAAATCATTTATACTTTAACTTTCTGACTAATGTATTACAAAACGTGATATTCAATATTTATCGCCAGTGAACCGGTACCGTATCGTCATACTCTATTCGAACCTAGTATCTCGAGGATTAAGATAATTTATGGTCGGAATGAAAACCTAATTGCATATCCAGCTGTGATTGTTATTCCTTGTAAGAAACTATCATCCTGATTATCATTCCCATTTAACCTTAAGGATTTTCACAAAATTCATGTGGTTTAATATCACTGAAACCCATGCCCTGACTTATCACTAGATTGTAATTAATGTTGCGTAAATGCAACTGAATTCTTACTGTTAGTGGAGCGCCTCGGTTTCAAAATGCTTTATCACAGCCTTCTTTTATTTATTCTCATCTGTTTAACAAGAGTCATAGGGCATTATTTATCACGATTTCTCATCAGTTTCCGATAAGCAACTATTGGGTCAGATTTGAATTTTTCCCGCATTTCATCTGATTCATCTGTTGGCTACTTTGAACGTTCTAATGCTCTCCATTTTCACACTGCAAATTATAATATTTTTAACATCAGTATTATTTTTCATCTAGTGCAGAAAAATAATTTGTACTTTATTCCCAAAAATGAATTGTTTAATTTAAAAATACTGACTAATGCACTGTTAAACAACAATTTTTGTAAGATGATGTTAAAGAAAAGATATATTATTATTATTCCACATTTAATGTGAGAAACCAAACACATTGGTTTAACGAATTTCTTTCAGTTACACTTAATACATTGAGTTATTTAGGTTAAAAGCAAGAGATTGACATTCTAAATGTTATAAATCACTGAATGCACTAATCACTGAGGATACATAATAATTATAACAAAGCCAGTTTATAATCACTTTAACTATTTATAGTTGTCTAATTGTTAGCTATACAAATGAAAGCTAGAATAGGCGTCTATTACACAATACATTTGTACCTGACAAAGACTGTCATATAGTCCCACAAGTTTCACAAGTGTTAAAAATATACAAATCTTTGATATGGGAATAGCGAACGACAGGCGTATTTACCTATCAACAAGTTAGAAACAATAGGAACAGAATTTGAGTTATCGAGTTAATTAATGAAAGTGCGCCCAATTCCATACTGATTGAGTTTATCTGATAAAACATAAATAGTGAAGCAATATCAATAACTGGATGACATTTATTATTATTATTATAACCACATGTGGGTTGTCGACTCTATGAATAAAGAATCAGCAGTTAACCCTAAGCATTCTGTCTCTCACTATTTAATTATATTACATTTTAAAATCTTCACTCTACCCGACCCTACTGTTTAACTATACTCACATTCACCCAAAGCTATGGTTGAGGTTTTTCCAGATCAATTATCTTCTTGGAATCTTTGTTTCTCGATCAGGCTAATTGTATGTGCTCTAATAACTTAGCAAAAACCAATCATCTGGTTTAGATTATGTTTTTAACCTCCTAATCGTTACACTGTATTTGGTAAATTAAATTTTGTTCTTAAACCGACAAGGTTTGCTTCTGATTAACTAGATGCGTATAAAAAACCTCGCTTATTTAGGAAGCATAATTGACGTGAACATGAAAGTTAGGCTGGTATTTTCCAACCGGTGTCATCTGGCGAAGTATTCCAATATTTATAGGAAGTATGCATTATACATCTTAGCTACCGAACGTTGAATACATAAAAATGTAAAAAGATTTTATGCATAATTGCCTTTATATAATTGCTCACACTGGGTGCGATAACCTTGTAAATACCTTTTATGTTAGGCATAAGGTGTTGGTTGTAGATTGTAAGTCAGTTTATGAAGCAGTTATTCTACATTGAATGAAATGTTTGAGACGTATTTCATTTGTCGAACTATCGCTTTTCTCGGTTATCAATATTAACTAAAGTTAGATTAAGTTGGAGAAGATTTAGGACGGGCAAAGCCAAAGCATGGCATCATTCTGTAACATCACTATTTGGTGTTCTGAGCCATCTAGGTAAATTTGGTGGACGGCTTCAGATGCTAAGAAACTAAGTTTAGAAACAGATCAAAGTCGTTCCCACTGATGAAGATGCATTCGTTTTTTATAACAGAAATCGTAAATTATTCACTACTATGCACTATATAATCAACTTTTTTGAAATGCTATAACTTGAGCCGTTGTTCTTTACATTGGCTTTTTGTTCAGCATACTTTGTGTGAGTTAAGATTACTATATCATGCCATTGGAGGGAGAAGATGAATACTCATCATTAGATAAAACTAAGCAGTAACAATTTTTGATGAATGATAAACTTAGTCTGACATTTCAAGGATCTGTTACCATCGAGTTTATGAACACATTTCACTAAAGTCGTTGAAATAGGAAGAAGACGGTTTTCGAACAACAGTAATAGTACAGAACTCGTCTGGATCACACCTTAAAAATTTTGTCATTTGAAAGATAGAATTTCAGGGAAAATCTCATTTCGTTCATATTGGAAACGGGAAAATAAATATTAGGTTGGTGTGGACAAGGTGACAGTGAATAATTGGTCCGCTTATTTTACTTTTCTGGCCATGAATAATATTATCTAATAGCGTTCATCGTCTATATAAATATCAGACTTCAGTTTAAGAAAGGCAACTTGGAATAGAAAAGAACCAAGGTATTTTTTTCCTAGCACTACCCCAGATATCTAAATTACGCGCTGTTAATAATATTATTGTACTCCACTGGGAAAAAATCGAGACTTCTTTTTCTCGTAACAAATATTGATCTCACCTGCTACATTTTTGTTGTTCACTTGTGCTTTTTCCTGTCTATCACTCCCTCTCTTCCTCTCATATATATATGGTAGCTAATTTTAGAATACACTATTTTTATTCGCACACACACAAACAGACTTTTTGTCTATCTACTTGTCGATTTTCTAGCCTGTATTTACTGTTCCTGTGTGCCTGTTCGATTGGTTTATTGAATGATACACTTGAATGCATTCTTGCCAGTCATCTCCATTGATTTTGTTAACAGGGTATCTTCTTCCCATTTGATGCTTATTTTCCACTTCATGTATTCAGTTTATGCATGTATAGATCAGTGTGCCAGTATACGCTCGTGTATGTGTTGTAGAAGAATGTAGTAAATGAATGTATAATGTATGCACACATTTATTTTCGTATTTTAAATGTTTTATCGCGTAACACTGTGTGCAGGCATTATATCACAACAATAATTATGATAATAATAATTATTATTATTATTTCGACGATAATCATACTTTTGGCAACTAGTCAGTTATTTTCACAACCGGTTGAACACATGGACACATTTTCATTTAGATGGACTGTGTGTATTCACAGTACACTTTCAATGATCTAACCTTATTAAATCCCGTAATGTTTGATTTACCATTATGGAGATTAGCTATATCTACAAATGTAAACACTATATATATATATATATATATATATATATATATATATATATAACCTTTTTATGGAAACCTGCACTTCTGATTGTAAGTGTACGCGTATAAAAAATACTATCAGCAGAAGCGAATGCTTTCTTTCCTATTCTTTTTCTTCTTTTTATATCTTATTCCCTTCCAAATGTCACCGTGGGCACCGTAATTATGGCGCCAATTAAAAGAATTTTTATGCATTCATTTGAGTATTCTGTCCTTAGGCTTGGTTAAAAAGCTAAATCCTACTTATTGGTATTTAACCACACTGGTAAATCATATTGTCAGTATTTTTTCTTATCAAAAGCATCATAATAATTATATTGGCTTCGCAGTGTCAAATTACTTGACATATATGCATCTGTTTCAATTTAGGGAAGGCATTAGAATTTATTGTCTGTATATTTAATTCACCTTAACGACAAAAAGCTCCATTTTACCCCCAGTATGTCTTCTGTTCTGTCTGTCTGTCTGTCTGTTTTCGACATAGAACTTTGCACAAATGTGCGGAAGTTCAAGTTGCCACACTCCATGTAGCACGCGAAGCAAGAGAAGAAAGTATAAGAAAAGCATAACAGAAACAGTGAGTAGAGGTGTGAGACAAAGGAGTAATAAAGAAAAACAGAACAGTTTCATTGGTGGAGATCATATGTCACAAGGAGTGGATGCATCTGCACCAGCCATTGAGAACGATTTTGAGCCATGTCACCAATTGTTTCCAACCATAGATTTTTACCGTCCCGAGGACCCCAGCCTGGAAGTCTACACCTTCCTACGTGGCTTAGACCAACTGTTGTGGATTTCATTGACTGGTGCCAAGTTTTTTTTTGACCGCCGCTAGCTTTTTTCCAGCCTGACCCTATATCCGCTAACATTGATCGTCGAGGGAGGCGATGACTTGGCATACGTAACACATGTCCTAACCATCTCAGTCTTTGTAACTTCACGACTTCGTCGATTGATTTCCCCTGTTTACCTAGAACTCGACGCCTAACCTCAATGTTGCTTACCTTATTATACCACTTCACACGGGAGATAGAGTACAGGCACCTATGATCAAAGACAGCTAGTCTTTTCATGTCTTCCACTCTCAGTGGCCAGGTCTCACAGCCATAAAGGAGGACGGAGGAGACTGATGAGCAGTACACCCGCCCTTTGGTCGATAGTCGAACATCTCGTCTACGCCAGAGTTGGCGTAAACTGGCAAATGCGAAACGAGCCCACTGTATTCGTGCTGAGATTTCGTCAGAGATCACCCCATTGGCACTGGCTGATGGTACTTTCCAAATAAGTAAAGCGGTTAACGTGCTCTACCACTTCACTTCCTATTTTTAAACTAGGCGTCGATGTAGTCCAGTCCTGTAACATCATCTCGCATTTGGCTGGAGCGAATCGCATGCCAAACATTCGTAGATTGCGGCTCAAGGTGTTTAGAAGACTCTGCATTTTGTCAGCGTCTTCGCCTAGAAGGACTATATCGTCTGCATATTCCAAGTCAACGAGATCATTCCCCGGTAGCAAGTCAATCCCTGAATCGCTGAAGTCACTTAGGGTTAAGTCCATTAACACATCTATGACGAAGTTGAATAGAAAAGGGGATAATGGGCATCCTTGACGGACACCACTGGTCGTCACCAGTTCAGATGACAGCTCGCCGTAAGCCCCCACCTGGCTGTATGAGTACGAGTAGAGTACCTTAATCAGTGCAATATATTTTCTCGGAATTCCCTTTACAGCCAAGCATCTCCAGAGAACTTCTCGATCGACAGAGTCGAATGCTGCCTTTAGGTCAAGAAATATAATGACTGTTGGACGCCGGTAGGAGTGCCTATGTTCTAGAATCTGTTAAAATATTATCAGTGAATAAAATTACTGGTTGCATGCGAATTATATCGATTTGTACGTCTCGTTAGATGACGTTGGTCAAAACTTCGGACAATGAACACTGTGGTTGTGATACTTGTATTGGAAATTAATTGTAATTAGAAACTGGTTTTCAGTCACTCTGACAAGGCATATACCATGCTATATATTGTATACTGATTTCTTATAGTAAATAAGCTAAATTAGTGTATGTTGTCATTTCTCACTTAGGTATTAACTCGTCAACGTACTCTTTTCGATAAAACAAGGAAATTTCTTAAAGACAAGTGGAAAGGAGATGTTAAGCGCATGCTTGATGCAGAAAATAGTTTGTTCAAAACAAAATCAGCTTATTACCAACGTTGTCAAGCTGGGGTGAAGTTGCGTGAAGAACTAGCATCTGCACAAAATTTTCTCAATGAATTATCAGCGTCGCTTAATCAGACATCATCCAGTTCTTTCTCTGGCGCATCACCATCCACGTCATCACTCACAACGACACCAACAAGTGCTTCAGGTGTGGTGAATTCCAATTCCTTAATGCATAATTCATACTTTTTATTAGGTACATCAGGTACTGGTGGCAGTACACATTTATCAAACTCGAACTTAACAGTTGGAAGCAATGCAAATCTGGCACAAGATTCAAATGAACCTTCGTCGGGAGATTCTAGTACTTTTACCGCCTCTTCTTCATCTTCCTCTTCAAACCAAGTCGCTAAACAACGAGCAAAAGTTGAACGGCTGGAAAAACAGTTGAGCGATAATGATAAGAAGGTAAAAAACACTTTATTTGTCTACTTTCATTTATGTAAATCTTATTATTTTTTTCATGAAGAGACTGAATTTTCCCATATTGATGGAAAACCAGCTAAAATACAGTTAATTTAGATCATAAATATAGCTAGCAGAACCAACGATACAGTTTAACAAAAAGGATGATGTTTTTAATTATTTAGTTTATTCTTTTTATTTCCCAGTGGAATATAGGGTTTCAAGCCTAAGCAAGATTAAGAAGTGCATCAGCCGGGAATTGCACCCCGGGCCAGATGTCTGGTTGGAGAATATTCTACCGCAGAAATATCCACGCGATACGGTAATGACAGCTCATATTAGACTTAGCTTTTATTTACTATCTGCTATTTTATATTCTATTGATGCGGTTGTATGATTTGTTCAATGCGCACACAGCACACGGCATAAGGACTGCATAGCCAGATAAATGCATCAAATGGGATACAATAATACGACTGGACACGGCTGTTCACAAATAATGTGAACTAAGCTGTATCGGATTACTGAGGATTCGTAAATAAGATGTTTAATTAGATATCCAGTTATCAAGTTGAAATATTTTTATTTCAATTTTCGTTCAGGAAATAGAACTAATGTATGCATATCGTGAAGCAGTGGATATTGCAAATCATCGACTATGTGAATTAGAAAAAAGTAAGGTGAGTCTTCATTTCTTTCCTACCCATAGGATAATATATGGGTAATTCTTACTTCTGCAGGTTTGAATTAATCCGTAAAATATTTTTATAATCTGTTAACATAACTTTTTATATATTAGTTATAATTTCAAAGCGTGTCAATATTACACTTTGCATTTTATAAATGTTTATTTCATAACATCAGTTCACATCCACAGTGGTTTGATAACCTTACAGAAAATACGTTTTCTGCTTCAGTCATAATGTTTCATCTACTCTACACTATTTCTGCATATCGATGGCAAAATATTTTCAAACTGCTGACTATAACACTTACATTCAGGCGTCATGAATAATCATTAGGTGTCTTAACAAATATATAGGAATGGTTAAACGCCAGAAACTGTGATAACACGAACTGAGATGTACTGTTTTCCTACGGATTTATTCGCTAGGTCTCTATCACTGTCTGTTTTTATTTATCTGTACTTTATTCACATTTAGCTTGAAATTTGTAAGGTCTTCTTTTTCTGTTTACTAGCGAAATTGAGTTTCAAAGACTCGAGTTACAACATTTCATAAAGCATATATCAATGTAGGCAGAACTAATAGATGCAAGAGAAATATCATAGACAGAAGCTAACGGATCAGAGAATAACCTACACAGCCCTTAATGAGGATTTAATGAATTTGACAGATCACAAAGAGTGAATTTTTCTGCGCCGCTGTAGATGAATTTGAGGCACTTCGGTAACAGTTCCTAACAATTGGTTTTTACAGCCTTGGTAGTAATCAGTCAGGTCGTATTCGCCTTTCTACATAGCTCATACCATCAGACAAAACTTTGTGGATTGACAAAGTGTTTTCACTTAGTTACCCGACAGAAGATTGTCTGCTGAGGAGGTCTTGACAAAGCATGTATATCATACGTTCTAGCAGTTATGCTACACTGAAATTGATGAAAAAGTTCAACGTGCAAAGTTTCAAGTAATTAACTGTTGCTGTCCCAAAACAGAACATATCAGGTAATACATATAAATTTTTATCGCAAAGCAGCTACTCACCAAGTTTACCGCAAGACATTGCTAAGTCTACAACCCATGCATAAAGGGCAGTATGATGAATAAACGTAAAGGCTTGTGGAATTACTCATCAATTCAAGCTATCATACTTCGAGAAAGCTTATGAATACAGGTGCCAAGAAAACATAGTTCAACACAGATAACAGTCAAAAATTAGATAGATGAAGATTTTAAGAATCTAAACACTTCAAGTGTTTGACGGGGAACTGTATGCACATATATACAAAAATACTAGTATTTCCACTGAAGATGCCCAGAAAACTTCAGATTTTGTCTCGGTTTGCATCTATAGGAGCCACATCGTCTGCGACTCTGAATGAGCGAAACTCTTCCTTTCAATTGGTGAGAGAATGTTGCTCCTTCCGGAGCACCCATGTGGAACTAGATTATGCACAGGTTCTTCCATGAATATCCGGACAAGCGAAACCATGTAAAAAGCAAACAGATGAGAATTCCTTATACACTCATTGTTTCGATAAGAACATTAATTATATGTTGGGAATGCAGTAAACTTGACACTGATTTGAGAGTAACTTCAACACATATCCTCTGAATGCTTGACATCATATCCATTCTGTCATGCAAAGGACTCTGTTGATAACCTGCGGCAAATGGTTAGTAAATGTCAGTTAATTTCAGCCGACTTTACTAAACCGATTAATTTGAAGTGTACTTATTCAACCCTATTCATAATCACTTTTAATTGATACTTCAGGAAGTTCATCTTGGTGACCATCACCATTAAGCATTGGTTTTAAAGTGCTCGGTTTGTAGAGGTGATCTATTTCAGAGTGAATTTCTTTACAGACCATATCAGTTTCTTAATGTCTTGAAATAATGAAGAGAGATGATCCCTAGCCTAATGTCAATTCACTTTCGTAAATAGTATCCAACAGTAGAATTTAGAATGCCTGTCTACTTCTATTGGTGAGTAGAGCATATTTTAACTCACAAGGCGTGTGGTTCCTTTGTTGAAACTAATTGAAATATAGGAGATAAGTCCTCCATTAGGACATCACTTCAAGTCATTATTCAATTTTTTGAATCAGGAACTATCTGGAACAACAGAAGACTAAAATCGGCTCAAAATATTTTATATAGCAGACATTTCACAAATCTTTTCACTACTGTGTATAAAATCACCTAATTTAATCAAATTGAACACATATACGATACGGCTTTGCGTTCCATGGTGCTAATTTTCCTACACTATTGGTTTTTCAAAGTTCTGGGGTCTTAAAGTGTTTTAATCTCTACCAATCAATAAAAAGAGGCCAGTTGCCTGAAATGTAAAGTGAAGACAAATTTTCGTAGATCAGCATTCTTATTTCAAAAGGTGTTCATTCAAGATATCCGCTAAAGTTATGCGAAGATTCCCTGAATTCAGTTAAGTTTTTTAATTCCAAAGTAAAAATTACCGACAGCGTTGGTAAATGGTTGGTTGATTCTGGTTCAAAATATCCTGAAAGTTCAACATGCTAATTGTCAAACGATCGGGAACTGTGCCGACACAACTGTTTCTGAATAGAAAATACTTCAGTCGGTAAAGGTGAATTAGTTTCTTTGAGACTGGTTGATCGTCAGTTAATTAAAAGATAAGGTACATATGTTTCTGTTGAACTATGCACCCCTAAGGTAGCAACGAAATTGGGAATTAAATATTGCGTGACATTATTAATGAATGAATTCAATAACAGGGTATTCGGTATTAAGGTTGTCAACTGTTCCCTCTCATTATTTTTTCTCCTTAAGAAAAATGTCTTTGGAAAACTCTTTTTCACAAAGCAAATAAAAATAACTGAAACTAAAAATAATAACCAGACGACCTTGATCGATTTCCCTTCAAAGTATTGCACAGAAATACAAATAAACCTGCATATTGTAAAACACCTGTTATGTGTTATATCCTAAAAGCATTATGCGATGCAATATTATAAATTATTGGATTGTCACTTTATTTGCACGAGCACAGATTTACATCTATATTCACCTCGTTGAATTTTTGTTGATGTAGGGAACACAATTCATAGGTTGAAGTATGTTCCAAAGTAATGGGTGTTTATTATTTTAGCTTATTTCGCTATATCATCCATGGAATTTAAAAGAAAACTTATTCTAACTTTTATCATATATACAATTTATTGTCTTTGATAGCTCTGTATTCAGTCTCTTTCAAGTTTTATTTTGTATGAAATTCTTAATATACCTTGAATGTTATTAGCCAGGATATCAATGTGGTGGATTTCCACTGGAGCCAGAAAACGTTCAGCTTCATCACTTATACTATGTAAGCCTTATTTTAGACTGATCTGTCTGACATATTACTCTGTACAACACTCTGATGCATGAGATGACAACGCTTGAATCATATTGTTCGACGCATAATCAAATGTAATTCATGCAACCTTAAAACTCCGTTTCTTTCCCGCTCATTATCGAATATAAAGTAAATTCATCTTTTACATTCATACTTGGTAAGAGTAAGAAAGGAAGTGAGTAAACTAGAAAACGAAGAGATTATGACATCACGCCCTGATAAAGACGGAGGAATCGCAAGGACTATATCAGTAAAATGCTGGCAAAACCGATCAACGAGAAAAACATGACTGAACAGACCGAACAAATGCTAACGGACACCATTTGTAAGCTAAAGACTGAATCTTTCATCAGCAACGAAACGTTTGAATCCCTAAGACCATCTGGCTCAAATATACCACGACTTTACGGACTCCCGGAAGTACACAAGAAGGGTATCCCTCTTCGACCGATCCTCGACTTGACCAATTCGCCTTATTACCGCACGGTCCAATAGTTAGCAGACCTACCAGAACCAATCAGAAGACAAGTTTCCTGCCATACACTTCGAAATTCATTCGACTTTATCGACTCAACCGAAAACATCAACGTATCCAGCAAGACCATGTTTTCATTATATGTCACATCACTATTCACAAACGTTCCACTGACTGAAACAATATGCTATATATGCGAACTTATTCACTCCAAAGGAATAAACATCGATATTCTCGCCAAGCGTCTTAAAGAACTCCTACTGAGGTGTACCCCAAATGTTCAATTCTCTTTCAACCACGAAATATATCGCCAAAAGGATGGTATAGCTATGGGCTCACCACTAGTCCCACTGCTTGCAGATTTCTTCATGGCAAAACTCGGAAACGCATGCCTGAAGAAAATGATCGAAATCTATAAGACATACGTCTACGACACTTTCATTATCGTCAACAATGAAGAAAATCTAGACGATATCCTGAAGTAGTTTAACAACTGCCACCCCGCGATTCAGTTCACGCTGGAGAAAGTGTTCAACTCCAAAATATCCTTTCTTGACGTTCAACTAACAGGACGAAAACAAGATGGAACACTGGAAAGATCTCTCTACAGAAAGCTGATGTGGAATGGACAGCTTACCAACTTTCACAGTTGGGTACCCCTATACACCAAACGAAACCTGATCCGTCCACTCAGCTACAGAGTTCGCAGAATTTGCACCCCGGACACCACAGAAGATGAACTGGACAATCTCAAGAGAATCTTCATCGAGAATTGTTATCCAGAAAGTTTGATTGCAAAATCTATGAATCCTAGACCACAAAAACCGCCCATGTTTAGCGTCCCGAAAAAACTACTCTACATGAACCTTCAATTCAATGGAGATATATCTGCGGAAACACTAAAAAGTCGACTGTCGCGCTCACTTAAGAAGACCTTCTTCGCAGGTGACCTACGGCTAACCTCCACAAAACCTATGGTTCATGTGAACGTGAAGGATAAGCTACCACTGCTGGCCTCATCAATTTGTATTTATCAGCTTTCCTGCTTATGTGGAGTCAGGTATGTCTGCCATACCCAGCGTTCGCTTTCCATACGTATCACCGAACACTTACCAAAATGTTTTTACAAAGGAGAAGAAAGATACCCTCGCAGCTACATCTCAGAACATCTGAAAGAATCTGGACACTGAGCTACACTGCAAACAAACTTCAAAGTCGTCTACAGAGTAAGAAGTAGTCTTTCTAAAGATGTACGAATCAGACTTCTTCAAAATGCAGAAGCAATGGCGATTCACTTGCTAAGTCCTGAACTCTGCATACAGAAGAAGTTTGTTCAATCACTATACTTGCAATGGATGTAATCTGTCTTATCACCCAACAAGTCAATTCTACCTAATCTTTTTTTGTCTGAGTCATCATTGGTATTATTTTATCTTCTCAATTGTAATATTTTACATTTTCAACTTTCTTATTCTCTACCCCCGCCTGGTTTAAGTTATACACCTCACAACCACTATTACTGACTTGACCAACGCTCAATTTCTAGTCATTTATGTTACGTCATCAAACTTATTTGCTCAATTTCAGCTCTAATTTGAATGGCATTATTCTCTACCCCACTTCTACTTAGTCTCTTTCTATGATTACCTCTGTTGCTACCCTGACCTAAGTTGAAACATTTTAGTCAATTATATTACGTCATCTAACTTACTAACTCAATCTTACTTTAGTTGCTGTCTAATTAACCCTGTTTCTATATGAGATCATTCTTGTATTAGCTGATCAGTTATCTAAACTTGACAAACCTCATGTACACACATACACAAATAATTATATATAAGTGCGATTGTACAGCTATCTGAATGAATTCGCCGAAAAGAGTCTCTTCTCTGAACGTCTTCTCTTTTTCATAAACTAGAAAATATTCATCACTGAAAAGGCTGTCTGTTAAATACATTTATTTACCGAAAGTTGTCAGTTTAAATACTCGTATTTGCTTTACACCCCCAAGCGTGTAATGTATAAGACATCTGTATCGAATGAAACCCATTAGTGATATTAGGTGTCTCTATTTCTATTCAGTTTTGTCATAGATATGGTTCTCTGTCTCCACATTTGGCTACTCAAGGACCAACCTCCTTAAGAAAGTGTTGGCACAATCACTAGATCGTTGACGATTTTAGATGTAGACTATTATGAAAGACGGACAATTCTTATTTAATCCTGTTTCCTCGTTCGCTTTGCTTTTTTTCCTTTTGTCACAAAGCACTGTTTCCTTCTGCTTAAACTACAGCTGTGAACTCCGATAACTAAAACCACTATTCAGTAATGCTAGGTAATGTGTGGGTACTCTCTGTCTAACTACAGATTTTTGTAACAAAATCAAAGCAGTTTAAGCAATATGATTTTCTGTGTATTCCATCCCACTAATCTGTTTAAACATATTAAGTCCAAATAGCTTAAGAAATTAATCTACAATAATCTAATAACTAAATTAATGTTGAATCCAAGTGCTTCTTTTTATACCATTGTTAGTACAGTTTAATATTGTGTGTTCATGCGTCCTGAAAAAGACAACATAAAGAACACATATTATTAGAAAAACACAACATAGCTAGATAACATCTGCTATTAGAATTATCCACCTTCTTCAAACTAGACAGAAACTTAATTTTTAACTGATTATTGCTTATTAATACTCCTAAAATCTATTCTGATCCTAGAATTTCTCGTTTTACTGATTTTTACTTTCTGATATTTGTCTATAGCTATTCGAATATATCCCTCCATAACTTGACGTCAGTTTAGCTTATTAAATCTTCTATCTGGATTAAACTATAAAACATTCATATGCCTTCTTTCACTTTTTCTCCTCTCTTATTCGATAAAACACCTCATCTCTTGGTCTTTTGAGTGACTGCATAACATAATATTTAGCAGTTATTAAAATACCTGCCATTTACACCTGATATTCACGTATCTTGTTAATCGATTCTAGTTTCCGAGTAGCTTGAATATGCTTTTTCACTAAAGGTAACCAGTATTGGTTAAATAACAACGGAAAGTAATGAACGTGCTTAAGGCATCCGCCTTAAGGTTATGTGATTCATTCCTGTGTTTCACACCAATAAGGATTAATTCTTCTGTTCCCTACAATATCAATTACACGCCTGTATTCAATTTGTGAGCATCGTTTTTCGCTTCCAATCTCTATTTACACCGTATTTCGAGACTTTTGTATATTCCAAGATGGTCTTCTTGAACTGTTTCATGAGTGGGGGGAAAATTCATAAATTTTATGGATTACTGTGTATTCATTCTAGTAGAGCCACTAATTGTTTGGACTTTCTAGTATCTTTTCGAGAAGTTATCACGAAACTGTTTTTCATGACCATATATCAGTGATTCATTTCGTAGAAGTAAAATTAAACAACCACCATACGGCTGAGCAGTAAATGTTTTAGGACGCTGTAGGTTTAATATCCTGTGATTCTAACTGCTTAGCAAACCTTGAGATGGTATCAGTTTCAAAAACAACATTGTGTGTATGAAAAGTAAACAGTCCAGTGACGACTAGAACAGATTATCATGATTTCCAAGATGGAATCTGGGGAATCCTGAGCTCTGTGAGTTGCGTCATTATCTTTACTGCGATGAATGGTTCATATATTAATGCACTGGGACTCTAGCCGATGAGATTATTTTGTAGGAATAAATAAGCTGTATATATCGCTTATAGTGACCTAAATAATCATGTTAGTTAGCAGTTTGTCACTTTATACTGCTCCGTAAACGGATTATGTGGGTTAACAAAAATTGAAATCCTATGTCAACTTCCGCTTGAAGGTGTAGTAAATCCTCTGCTGTCATCATTAAGTAACTAGGAACTGTGATGCATATAAAAGTTTGAAGTAGTTTACCCTCATTTCATAACTTCACCTCTTTTCAACTTTAACATTTAGGTCGAGATTTTGTGCGATACACGTTTGACTATAACAAAAAGTGATGAAGTCGTTAAAGATTCTTTGGCTGAATTATGGAATCATTTGTTCACTAGTCGATTGGCAATGATAAAACAGGTGAGCTAAGCAAACTATTAATATAAGCAACAGAAGCTTCATAATTTTCTGTGTTATTTAGTATTTTAATCAGATTTACTGCAAATGAGTCACTTGATTGGTCAAAAACAGTCTGACAAGACTATCAACACCTTTCTAAAAATTATGCAAAAGTCAACTACTCAGAATTACTTTCCTATGGATTAATATCTTTACTTGTATGGATAGGGGATACTTCTTAATTCGTCTTTTGAAACTACGGTACTAACCGAAAATGTGAGTAGATGTGCAAATCACTGCCCACCCCACATCAGCATAAAATTTTTGCTGTCCAAGTATAACAAAGTATGAGGTAAACAAAAATGTTCAGAAAATAGACAACATACATTTCTTTGATTTACCTGTTTATCTGCATCCACAAACTCAGGTCATATAGCTAAGTACAAAACAACAACGATAAAATACCCATGTCATGGGGATCGACGTTGGGTCCTACTACTCAGAATTTACAACCATTTCTTTAAATTTCTCCTTTTCAAATCCTTTGTGTTCTGAATGAAACATAGGACTTGAAGCTTTTAAGTTTTAGTGGATGTGCTGTTTTTATGAAGTGAGGTTGCTAGCCTCATGTTCAACCTACCATGTTTCCTAGGCTTATTACTGACTAAGTGAGGTTTAGGAGTGAGTCGTTCGTGAATGGAACCTGGGTCTTCAATGGGACTGGTTAACATTCTGTCATTGAATCACTGTCACACACTTCATCCTTATGTTCCGCCCCCCCCCCACAGATTATGTTTTAGATTGCACAACAATTTAATCATGCTTAGTCTGTAAAAGAAACAACTTTTCCTGAATAGCTGGAACTTATATCTCCCACTCTATCTTATTGAGTCACCAGTAAATTCACTTAAAATCCTAGAGTGACTCGTAATATGATAACCAAGTTAATAGGAAAAAAAATCTAAATCTAGCTGTCATTCTTTATTTGCTGTTAACAGTCTTGAAGCAAAACAGAAACGAACAAAGATTCTTTTCTACCTCTAGTAAGTTTGACAATCCAATTAGATAAATCACTTGATCATTTTTCGCACTGCCTTCAAGTAAATATCTGTTGATTTAACTAAATTTCTAACTTTAAACTCTTCCTGTTCATGCACCCAGTACGAAACAATTGCAAACGCCTACCAGGACTATGTACCATGTAGTGATTATCGTGCATTGGTTGAAGCACATGTACAAAAGGCCACTGAATTTGTTCCAGAAAAATATCATTTTGATGGATTTCATGAATCAAAGTACGTTGTTCCTTGACTGTTCTTTTCCAAAATTTTCCACTTTTTCTGTATCCTTATTAATCTATTTATTTGTATTTGCGCCATTGGACTAAACTTTCAGGTGGATAGAGGACGCAGATATAATAGAATTCTCCATAAACGGAAGATCACAAAAGCAGTATTTTAGTGCATTATATCACTTCGCATTAAAACTGAAAATTCACCAATTACTTCTTTGATCGAAGAGGTATTTAACCGAAAAGAACTTTTTTCTTCAGGCAGAAAAAAATCAGTTGTAGATCTAATTGATGTGCTTATCATCTTAAGTGAAAAAACCTCTCAAGTTCCATGAAATATCTAACAGGAGAATTGCTTATGTTCAGCAAATTCATATTCGTGTACAGAATGTTGTGTGTGCACTCTCTATACTCTGAAATCCTGAGCATTTTCTTTAGTAGCAAGTCCCCTTATTTAGCCTGATTACCTAGAGGTTGTTACGTATTAATGAGGCTCAATCAGTGTTCATCACTTTAGTTATTTATCACTGACCTTGGTTGTTGCAAAGACTTATAGTCATTTTATGTTAAATTAGCTCCCGCTAGTCTTCGATTTCAGAGCTTACCTGTATCAGTCATCTGGTATCACTCATTTAGTATTAGATGACAGTGCTCCCTTTAGTGAATATAATGATAACGAAAGCCACAGAATCAAAATTTTAACTGGCAATGATGTTAAGATGTAAAAATTAATTGGCATCAAACTAGTCAACTACATAAGCTACAAGCAACACAGATGAAAAACACACACTGATAACCTTATATTTGAGTTTGTAAGGATTTTTATCAGATTTCAAGTAATGAAAATGAAAGTGAATATAATTAATTATCACTGTTATCTCAATGCGATTTTCTCTCCTCTTTTTATACTTCTACTTTGCGTATTTTGTTTGTTATCCACTTGACTGTCTTTCTTCTAAAAACAAAATTACATGCATTCATTGCTTTTTATATACAGATATGTACAATTTTGTACATTAGGAGACAAAATTAGGCAAATGGATTCAATAAAAGTCATAACAATCAAGCGAACAATATCTTGTTGCATTGTGCGAAATATTCAACTGTGTACATAGCTTGCTTTTAAAAAGATACACTTGTGACTACAATTCGGCTTATCATATTTTATGAACTATAAGTGTGTGGTTGTTTCGTTCGCATTGTTGTACACAAGACCATAGACAAGAATAAGACAGTTTGAAAGCCAATTAACGTGGAATGTGATGTTTGTCCCAGTAAAAACAACAAAGAATACAAAATGTATGAATTTTAGTAATTAGATGTTATAAAAAAAGGAAATTATTACTGAGAGAACAAAAGTGTATTTTCTATACGTTCAGAAGAAAATTAATTTTGTAATTTATTACACATTGCTGAAAAACGATGTTTTTCAGACATAATTAATATAGAAGTAAAGCTCATATTTAGAGCTGAAAGCCTTCTTTTCCTTAATCTGTTCTGATTTACGTTAACAATACCACTATGTCAGTGTATGTTTTTATTGGTATCACTTCACTCATTTTCAGACTAGATGCTGGTCGTATAGCGAGTCGTTTAGGCAAAGATTCTGGTGACTCGGTTGGAGACTCATTCTGTAAGTGTAATTAAGCCTTATTATAATATCATGCTTTGATAATGAAACTCTGAATACGTCTTCGTTAATCTTAACGAAAATTTGTCTGTTTCTTAGGTTTGCCATTAGATAAAGTTGAAAAGTAAGTATTCTTCTAGTTACTTCGAAGTGAAATACCTAGAAATTTGAATATTCGTAGGCCTAATATCTTAATAATAATAATAATATTTAAAAGTTCTTTCGATGAATTTTTTCAAAACTCATTAGCAAAGTAAGCAAGCAGAGTAATACATAAGACATAGCTACGTACAGGAATCCACTCCGTTTCACAGCACTAGTGTCTACCTATCCATGGAGAAGAAGCACGCAAAAGTCAGCCATGTTATTAGTTCGACTATCGATCTGTGCTTCACTGGTCTTCACCTTCGGCTTACAGTTAATTTTTAGCAAAAGTGATAGTCTGTTGAGACACAGCACATCATTTTAGTAGTTCATAATTAAAAGTATAATAAAATGCATGCAATCTGAACAGGTGTGTGAACATTAGGTTCATTGGTAAAAACAGAAGTGATATGATTACTACAAGAGAAAGTTAACGTTTCTTTACCTGTTAATTAGTTGTATGTTCTGAACTTCCATATACAACAGCAACAAGCAGTAACAGCAACTTTCGATAGCTTTTCACGTAGTATTTTGTATGTTTTAACATAATTATTAAGTGTTATGCTTACCGAACAGCTTGAATATACATATATATATATATATATATATATATGGAAGGTTTCACTTTGAATTAGTCAATTTCTCGTTCACCTGCTCTAGATGAATAGTTGAATAACAGTACTTTTCAATCTTTAACTCTTATTGAGAACAGCCGTAAAATGCTTAAAACTTTCTCAGTGCACCTGGAGATGTATGTCATCTATAAGTTTGACTTCTATCTACTTTATCTAAAGCTAAGTTGTTTTCTTTTATTTCGCTACTGTCATCTATAGAGAAAGTGAGTTCTAATCGTTACTGTGAATGATATTGGCTTATTATGTACACTTTCAGCCAAATCATTGTGCGCATATGCATATGTAGATACACTTGTTCAAAAGACAACCAGGTCTTTTCTTTTGACAACGAACATAAATCAGACATTATTGTGGACATAAGTTTTAATCCTGAAGACTGTGAATCTTAAATTCGCTTAAATTTTGTTTTAACTTTCACGCAAATACAAAAGAGTTGAGTAAAACTTACGCAAAATGGGTTTGTCTTTTCTTTTACTTGTGGTTAGATAAACCCTGGCCTAATTTTGACAATTCAGCTGAGTCCTAATTGTTGAATTTTCATCAAAACATTAATCAGTTGATCATTTGACTGCTACAGTCTACAATTTAAACTTCAAATAAAAGGGATGGAAGCTTCACAACTCTGCGTCAGTGGCACAGTGGTTAGGACTCTCGCCGACCATGCACATGGTCCGAGGTTCGATCCTCTGCCGACGCACACCTGATATCTATGGTCGGCCTGTAAAATTTGTGCTACCGATATCCATGCTGAAAATTCCATACTTGTACCAAAAATACAGTGCGGAATCAAGGTGTAATAAAAAAAATTTTAAAAAAATAAAATAAAAAAAAATAAATACATGTAACCTTGTTTTCTCTATGTAGCTGAAAATATATTAGCTTTGAAGATTTGAGGTGCTATAGAGACAATAAAAACGAAAAGCTTGAGAAAGTTGCTACCCATAAATTTTTAGCCTTTAGTAAAATCACTTCTCACTTCTTCTTTGAGACAAATAGATTGTATGCAAGTAGATCAGTGAAGTCAAACAAGTGAAAATGTTCACTGACCAAAATGCAGAATTCACCTGTTAACTCCATCTCTTCTTATCTTATGTGACGTATATTTCTTTTCGAACGCAACAATATGTTGTTCAATTTACAAGCTACAAACCCTATGTACATCTCATAAAAACACAGTACACATTTTTGATTGTTATGAGTTAACAGGTGCTAACTAAATTTTGTAGATTCTTAGTATGTTAATAGACTCTAGACACCTCACAGATGCGTAGGACTTATTTTCCAAAAACTTCATTAATTCTTTTACACAACTTGTATGTCCGTTTTCTAGGTGAATATCACTTCTGTAAAATAATATTTCTAAATTTAACTCTGTTATTACCATGTTTATCTTCGTTAATGTAATCAAAACACCATAGTAAAAATGATGTCACTGATGCTATTACCCCTCTTCGCCAATGACATTATTGATTTGTAACAGGATTTCATCATGATCTGAGATCAATTAGAGAACCACTGGAAAATCTGGGAGTACTAGACAGTTGTTTCGTCCTAGTTTAGGACTCTTCATCAGTACGCACCCGTTGGGGTTCAAACCCAGGACCTTCTGGTTACAAGGTGAGCTCGTATACCACTAAGCCGCCGGGATCTAATCCAGTGACCAGCCCATGAATTCTAACTTCTGCCAATTCACGACATAGTGCGACCGCTAGCCAATGTTGTCGGCGAACGTTTGTCCTCACACCCCACCTGCTGCACCCTACTGGTCAAGACTTCCCACTAGAACCTTAGGTAACTACCTACCTGTATAGGGTCAGTCGCCAGTGAGTATCTCATCGATATTTAAGTATTGGTTTGTGTTGAACTGGATGATGTTTTGGCTTCTAAGTAGTCTAACATACAACTAAAAGGAATTTTCGAATAATTTAAGTTCGCAGATATTTTAACTGAAAAATCTTGTAAGGCACAATCTGTATCACCTCTTATTCTGTAGTTTAGCCGCCATGGCAGTTTCATAAAGTTTTTCTCATTGAGAATGGTGAATAAGGGTGAAAGAACAATTCAGATTCTGCAAAAGTTACCATTCTTGTAGTAATCTAGTTATACAGCTAAGCATTACCAAGTAAAAGCAAGTATGTTGAGATGTTAAACATTATTACGAAAATAAAGCTTAATGTCACGATGAAGCCATTATGTTTTGCATAAATTTCATTGACTGAAGTCTCTCATATCTCAAAGTCTTACGACTTTTTAATGTCCTTTTGTTTATCAGATAATTATAAGAAGTACTGCACCATAAACCCTTTAAATTTAAATCAAATAATTCACACCATCAACTTGTTAGGTATGTTGAGATTGGCCTTAAACCATTTGCCGTAAAAACCTCAGAATGCGATGTTCAATTGAAAGCTGGCCATTTTATTCTGCAGGTAGTTTCCCGTGAATGAAGCCGAAAGATGCAAGAAGTCAAAAAGAACATAAAATAGTTTGACACAATCAGCCTCCTCCACGATTAATCAAGAATTTTGCTTTCTGTAACCTTGACAAGCGTGTTCCGGGATTGTTTGTACATGTTTCATGTAACACAATACACGAACACCATGAAAATGAATTTGACAATCAAAAGTAACTTTGACCATGATAAAAATTTTGAATACAAACTAAAATGTAAAACTGAATTCATTCCAGCCCAAAACTGCTTGACTTCATCGAACAGTAGAAAAAGACATCTTCGGTTGACAAGTAGTATTAAAATTGTGTTCTCTGTCATCAGTTATGATTGAAACTAACAACTAACCACCCGAATGTACAAAAAATGTCTTCTTATTATCAAATATCTTTGAAAAAACTAATGCCTATTTTATTTATCTTCCTTCTGTTATTTTTTCCACAACGATAACAGCCCATCGTAATCTGCTTTCTCTTCATTCGGACTCCGATTCTGATACAGAAACAGTGGATGTGGTGTCTAATGTGGTCGGTCGAAGCAGTACGAGTACTGGAGTGGGTGGCGGTAGTGGTGTTACTGGTGCCAGTAGTAGTGCTAGTAGCGGTGGAGTTGCAGGTGGTATTGTTTCCACAAGTAGCAATGTTTTATCCACTATAGTTGAATTTGGATCTAATCTTTTCCGGCCAGATTTGAAAAAATCTATTCGTGGCAAGCGTTCAGTTACAGCCGGTAGTAATCTGGCAAGTGGAGGCACAAATACAGCTGACTCACTTGAAGCAATAGCTGCACAAGAAGCTAATTTAGAAAGAGAATATATAGCTGCATGCTATCCAGTGGCTAGATGTATTGCAGCAATTGAAAAACAAGCTAATGGTTTGGCAACTCATGTAAGTTAGAGGCTTTTGTATTGTGAGAATTTCTTACCTATTTAATACTTTTAACTAAAGAGATCTATAAACTGTGAGTTGTCTGTCTGTCTGTTTTCGACATAAAACTTTGCACATATGTGCGGCAGTTCAAGTCGTCACACTCCATGTAGCAAACAAAGCAAGAGACGAAGGTAGAAAAAATGCATAATAGAGATAGTAAACAGAGGTGTGAGACAAAGGAATAGTAATGACGAAGAACAATGTAGTTTCATTGGAAATCATAAGTCATGGGAAGTGGATGCACCTGCGCCATTGAGAACGATTTTGAGCCATATCACCAATTGTAATTTTGTGCAATAATAGTAGCCCAAGAAATGGCCATTCCTATACTTTACGCAGTCACAGTTAAAAGATATTAAAGGAAAGTATATTCAATTCATAGATATGATACTGTAAGACCATGTTATTTACTAAATTGGTCAAATTACTTAAGTTTCCTATAACGTATCATTATTACTTACTATGATGACGTTTTAGGATTATTTATTGAAATATTTACTGTTAGGGAACTGTTCATTATTTCGGGTAAGTTAACATTAACCAGTGAAACAGCTAGTGCTTCTTACAGAAGGAATGAATATTCTAATACCAGTGCAGGTTATACATCGTAGTCGAAACGATGAAACCATAACGTATGTACACTGAACTGGCTGTTTATAATCATAATAGTGAATATACATCTTAAATTTCGTTTATATTTACTCCTGAAATATATGAGTTTTTCACATTTCAAACTTTACATACAAAATTTGCATTTAATTGGTGGATGGTGGCTAGCATTGGAATCCAGGATGCGCATTTCGTCCTATTTGGGACTCGTCAGCTGGATGTACCTGCATTTCTCAGTGAGTGATGATGTTCCCACTGAGGCTCGAACCCAGTGCCCATAGTTTCAAACGCCAAAGCGTTATCCACTAGACCACTAGACCACCTGAGACCGAGCACTTCGGTCCAATCAATCGACGGGAAAATCAAAAATTCAATTCAAAAATTTGCATTTGTTTAAAAAGAACAGTTTTTTTTAAAACAAAACACTTTCAGTTTTATTTTCTGCAACCTTTGTTCGTACACAGATTTATTTCTTTAAAGCAAATAGTTCTCTTGTCGGAACAAAGTTGTGTTATCGATATATATATATATATATATATATATATATATATATATATATAACTGTTTCTTTTATAATCCAATTTAATTTTCAATTAAGGGAATCTATCGAGTGCCAGCATCGAAAGCAAAGGTCTCCAATTTAATGGATTTACTTCAGTCAAGTCAACCGAATAGCAGTGAACAAATTAATAAAGATATTGATGTACTATGCCAAGAACATCCATTAACGTTAGCTAGCCTGGTGAAAACACAACTAATCGCTGTAAGTTGTCTTGAATCTTCCTCTCCAAATTGCATTGTATGTTTTTTATCTGAACTATTCCATTTCGTATCGCCTCATGTTACATTTCTTGTGACAAGTTAGTCATTTTAAGTATTGATACGAATAAGTAGAGTAGATTTCAGTGTCAGAGACTTTTTATCTCACTAAAACTTTCTTATCAGAGCTTGTAAATTTTTTTAGAACAATAAAATAGTTTTCTCAATTAGCACTACATGAAAACTAAACTATCTGCGATTCTAATTTGATTATTTCGGATTCCCTAGTTCTTTTTTTAAACTAATCAATAAATCAGTTTGATTTTCCAGCATATGAATGAAACTAACGTGGTTTCTACCACTTTAAACCTGATAGAAAATATTTTGTAGTTCTCTTGAAAAAGCACTTATGGACATTGTTGTAAGATTTCGGAAGTCCATTTTGTTTATGAGAAATTCGCAATTGGACTGATTGAATGATGAGCAGTTTTCAAACTTTTTACTTTTTTGCAAACTCCCTGAAGCAAGTTATTTGGTTAGACTATGCTTATTATAAATAGTCCACTGCATTCATTAAATTCAGTAAATTTAATCAGATCTGTTAGAATCACGCATCCCTATTGATTAATAATTATAATATGACTCTCTTTTCGACATCCTTAAATTATGCGCACTGTGTTCTTTCCATACACCTTTCGCTGTCTTCAGCAGTGAAGAAAAATACAAACCTTTGTACATACTACAGCCTGATAGTACAAAAATTTAGTTATGCAGAATGAAAAACTGATGAGCCTTACTGAAATTTATGAATTTTCTACAATTCACTCTATTAACATCTGTGGCTTATTTTAGGAAATTCAAGTTATATTTGTAAAAAATTAAATTTGTAGCTGGTTGCAGAAAATTATTAGGAAAAAAAATCTAAAATTGTGAATATAGACTACTTGCTTCTATGAAATCAAATGCTTGGCTAAAATAGATTATCAGTGCACTCATTTTACATGAATTTATTATTTTTGGCATTTTCATATTGTGCCGACGTATTCTGAATTTTCACTAAATCTAATGTATCGATGCGCGAGACTTTGAACTGTTGTATCTTCTTATTACAACACTGATTTCACAGAGAATGTCAGACTTAAAAATTTCTTCTCCTTGGTATTTCTAATTTCGCTGCATGCTTCTATAGAATTTCAAATACGCGTAGGTGATACTTTTTAAAACTGCACTACCTCTCTTTCTGGTTATTTTTCACTTGATAAATCTTGCACATTACGCTTATGAACACAAGTTAAGACGAATTACAGTAGTAGCAGGAAGTAATTATTCCAGGATCTCAGAACCACCCGGTGTAATACTAACCACAGATTCAGTATAATGTATTTAGGAGCAAAGTAAGTTTTGTACAGTTTTTGAAGCTGCGTAGCATGAAACCTAATAAACAGCTGCAAATTAATTTTTTTTAATCTAAGCACATTCTCCTCTCAACAAATTAGAAGAAAGTAATCCGTATTTATTCGTACTGCGTTATGCAAATATTCACTGAATGCCTAAATAAATCTTGCGTCTTACTTTATATTCCACTTCTTGTAAAACAAGAAGTGATTGCTACTTTCCATTCTTTGATAAACAAACATGCCTTCAAATGACAAAATGACAAAGGCAAAGGCAATGGAATAAATCCAGAAAGTAGATGAAAATAAAGTGTCAACATTTTTGTAAAAAATGTTTGTTTTACTTGTCAGCAATTTTCGACTGACGGGGACTTTATCTACCAGGTAAGGAAATCTAGTAAAACAAAACACCTTACTATAACTATATGGCTTTACGTGAACGCATTTATTAAGCTTTAAGTTGAATTATCTAGTTTAATCTACACAATACAGTAATTTATTCTGTCACTTGTAGTTCATTAGTAAGACTAACCATTGGCTAGACTACTGTACTTATACGACCTCCTAAAGTTGCATAAAGTTTCTTTGGGAACACTATGCAAGTGATTTATTCAGTGTAACAGAGAGTCGAAAGATGAAAATAACCATAATGAGACCACTTGCCTAAAGTCACGTAAACTAATTTAATCAAAGAACTCAAGTGAACTCAGATCTCGTCATCTTTTCTTGACATCAGTTTAATATATCATCTAATCAATTTTTTTTTTCGTTTTTAACAAAATAAAATTTATTGCTTAGCCGTCACAGTCTTTATTGTGTTATGCATATATATATATATATATATATATATATATCAGCACAAGCTGTTGAAGGTATTTTTTTCGAACAATAGTCTAAGTAATATATCAATGGCAGGATAAAGGATATTAAGCAGACAAATGGATTACTTGCTAACTGACTGTCTATGATATTAATTATTGATTAGATTAACACAAAGAAAGTACGTAATGGATGCAGTATTTCATCATGAGCTGACGTCATTTAGAGAACCACTGGAAAATCTGGGAGTACTGGGCATCTGTTTCGTCCTGGTTTGAGACTCTTCATCAGCAGGCACCCATCAATGTTCGAACCCAGGACCTTCTGGTTATAAAGCGAGCTTTATACCGTTTACCCAGTGGGACCCGATCTAATGACCCATAAATTCTAAATTCTGCTAATTCATGACATGGCGCGACCACTTCGCAATGTCCTCTTCGATGAGTGTTTCACTGGTTCTCTAAATGACGTCAGCTCATGATGAAATCCTCCATACAATCAAACAAAATCCCTACAAAACCAATACTTGAAAATATGTATTCATGACTGTCAGTGGAACAAAAATACTTCTGCACTTTTCCTCTGTTTCAGCTAACCTAAATTTCTGGAGGTAATTGTTATAGTATCGTTAAACGTTTGTTCTTTGTTGTTTAAATATATGCACCCATAATGTCAGATCAGAAGTTTATTTGAATTTTTTTGTAACTAACCTGTGTACTTTTTCTTCTATGTAATACAGTTACCAGAACCGCTACTCACCTACAACCTTTATCCGAATTTTGTTGAACTTGGTAAGGTAAGTAAAATCTGATGTTATCCCCCTATTTGATGATTCAATAGATAAAATTTTGTGTTTCCCTTTTCCTTTCACAATTTTAACGAGAATAATTTATATTACATTTCTGCATTTAATACTAATGAAGATTGAATATTCAATCTACGCATTTCATGAGACACAAATAATAAAGGTTGGAAGTGTTCATCTGATATGTAAACAAAGGGTTTACTACTTCATTGTTTAAACCTAAAGGAGTTCATCAAAACGTAATTACCTACTTTTGTAATTTCCAAGATATTATTGTGGGTAGATACTTTTAATTAACTACAGACGTGCACGTCTTGTCTTAAAGAGACAGTGTTTAAAGAGTTAGTGGAGAATGAGACATTTATTTCATATTGCACATAACATTTAGTTGTCTCGCTAGTCATCCTAAGGTGAATTCAAGTATTAGTTCAACTACTAACATGTATGCTGTAATCTTCGAATAGTAACAAATATTTTAACAAAATTTTGATGCTTGAATATTTACGGATGCAGCGACTTTGATTTTGATCGTTTCATCCAACTGAATGAAAGTGAAGTAAAATGCCCTCGGCTTGAGGAGCATCATTTTTGTACTCGTCTATTTGTTAAATCATGGGTTAGCTGCTTAGAACTCAGTTACTTGGATGGGAATTTTCAATGTTTTAGGCTATGAACCACACTCATTGTGTGATGACTCTGGATACAAATTAGTTATTCAAATTTAAGAAGGCATAGCTGACCTGGAATTCAGGACACGTAGGTTGAAAGTTGAAGGCTTAATACAATTCTGATTGGGCTTTATTGAAGAGTTGCAGAGTAAAACCAAATAGTTGTTCACCATCGGTTAGTTAAGGAAACTTTCTACGAGTAAGACTGTTTCACCTGATCAGAAAATTTATAGCTAATGGCGGTTTTCATAGATTATGTTTACTTCTTTTCAGATTGAACAGTTAGAATGGTTCACCGATCAATGGTAGTTTAAAACGATATTATTTCATCACACCGTACAGTTTAACTTCACATAAGATTGTCTACTGCACAATATTCATGTTAATAGCATTAACGGAGCCAAATATCTATACAGTTAATTTTGTCAGATATCCTTGTCACACATCTACATGTACATTATGCAAATTATTATTATTACTTTAGAATTAATATACAAAGTTTTGGATATAATTTATTTTTGGAAATGGAAAGAAATACCTCATAAATCTTGTCTACCAGTGATGGAATGCGGAAAATCTATTCTAAATGTTTGATATGCTAAAAACAACTCCATTGACAATTTTATAATTCCACTTACCATTCGTTAAAATAATTACTTCTCTCTAAAGACAGAGAGAGAGAGAGAGAGTAAGTAGCCATTATTCGTCTCGTTCGAAAAGAAAAATAAACTTATGTAGACAGTATAGATTCACATTTACATTTACATTATTGATTCAGAATTTGTAAGGTATACTACCTCTTTTAAGTATATGTTAATGAAGTTGAAAATTAACAGACATGTTGAGCAAAATACATTGGTGCTGAGAAATTTCTTGTCGTCTTACTGTAAACAATACCTGTAATGAATACCATTAAAATTCATTCTTTTGGCTATGGACTAGATCACTATTATTCAGTGTCCACAGTGAAAACCACCGAAGGCACTGCATCTACCAGAGTGAATAAACACAGAGTTAATTAGTTGAGTTTAGTGTTTCAGGTATCATTACCACTCCTCGTATGATTCAAAGTTTCTGTTTCACATTTATTTGAATAGCAAACAGAATTTACTCTCCTTTAAAAGTGTTGTCTGATTCCCTACACTTCTTAGTCGTTTGAATATTGACGCCTTGCTTCGACCGTTTTATGAAATCATTTAATTTAATTGATTTGCAAGTCTTAAAATAATTTAATGTTGTTCTCTTTCTCTCTGAAATGCTATCCAGTCAATAATGCTGTCTAAATGTGTGATATATCCAATAATTAAATTAATATGGAATTACATGCTATAAATATATATATTCTCTTCTCACCGTATTTGCAACTACAAAATGCTGTCTTCATAAGTAAAGCAAATAGCTTTATTAAACCGCTCGAGATAAAAGAAATTCTAGGAAGGTCAAAATCTGAAAAATCCCTCTTCATTTTGTCATTTTACTACTTAAAGATAGATAAATATATCAAGAACTGCAAGTGTGACATTTCTTCAAGAAAAAAACTGAGCACTGACTCATTGTTGACTCTTAAGGGATTTTTGTTATCGTAAGGAGTGTTTCTTTGCGTGGATTAATTATGTTCAACGACTTATGAGATTATTAATCATTCCACGTGATCAAAGTGCATAATTTCTTATATAGTACTACCACTTTTTTCTCTAGTCTGCATTCATTCATTCATACACCTATTTGTCTTCTTCTTCCTATCCAATAATCATTTTTATTTATCCATTCGTTTATTTTCTTTTTCGTCAATTTTTCATCTCATAGGCATTCGATTTAGTTGATTCAAATGTATCCGACGAACTAATGAAGCGATTACAATTATTAATTAATCATTTAAGTCCAGGAAATCGTCAGCTAGCTGGATTGATTTTTCACCATTTACATAGGTAATAAAGATTTCATTTTTTAATGTATCTATTATTAATAATATTATTATTCATGCCTTAGAGGAGAAAGTCAACTAGAGGGTTGTTTCTTAAAAATTATTAAAATCCTTTTTTATATTTCCATCTAAATTATTTTACTACTTATAAGTAGACAGACTGTTACAATAAAAGTGTTGAGGTGGAATTTTTTTACCTACTTTTCTGCCAAAAATCATCCTATAAACTGAGCATCAGGGAGTTTCGCTGTTGATTACCATCTAGAAGTATACTTTGTTCCTCATAAATATGCATCCAATGACTCCTGATACCAAGAATTAACTAAAAGTTGAAAATCAATATGCTGTGATTTGGAAGAAGTACAACACTACCCACAGTATGAATATATTCAATTCATTTACTTTCAGAGAATCAGTAAGTTTGGTTTACTTCATGTTATATGGAAGTGCTCTTAGACTTTTATTCTACTAACTAGTTTGACCTTCTCGCTTTCGAATTCCCCACCAGTATTCGCGTTTGATTTGAAAAGCGAATCAAACCTAGGCTAATCAAGAATTATAGTGGACAGGAGTTATTGTCTCACTGGTCAACCTAGACCCAATACCTTTAAACTTCCTGGCTTATTTTGCACACACTTTTCATCAAGTATTACAATTCGGTATTATTTTTCGTTTATCATTTAAATAACTGTATGACAACGATACTGATACAAATATAGTTTTTACATATGTTTACTTTTCACCCGATATCCAATATCTGTGGGGTGACTAGGTCAAATAGTGATCACAGCTCATATAAATATCTACCCAGTGGTTTTAATCCACTGGTTCAAAATTTCAACTTGCTGCCAACTGACACTGTGTGATCACGCCGTCAAATATGCATCAATGAGTTTCTGGCCTTATGCTTAGTTTTGTGGACACCACTGGTTATTGTTTTTTCCCAAAACTTTGCAAACTCTGTCCAGCAGTCGATCAATATTTTGATATCAATTTGTCAAATGTTTGACTGACTTCAAGCTAGATATTGTCACTGTGTTATACTTGCGGCGAAATCAATACAGCAAACCTGATGGTCCCAAGGTATTTTTTCATATCAAATACTTCTTAGGATCCACAATAGGATGAACGGCTCTCAGAAGGCCTTGGTTTTACATCTAGACTTCATCAATACGATAACCCGTTCTATGCACTAACACAGGATCTAATAACACTATGAATTTCGTGTTGATAAATACTAATTATTAGATATAGCCTACTGAAATATAAATACTAATCGTATACTATCTATTCGAAGTGAGATTTTACAAAAATAACAAGTAACTTTCAAATGGTCACAAGAAATCTTTAAGCATTTTCATCTACACTTGCTTATTAAAGTGTACGTGCAACATTTAATAGTCTGTGTCATGTCAGTAGCTTGAATCATTGTTCCTCAGCTTTGCGATAGAAAGGGATGCTGATGAAATATTTTTGTACTTCACCGTTGAGTCAACTAGCTCGATGGCTTACGCAGTTCGTTAGTCCAAAATTAGGGTCAGTTAGCATAGCATTATTGAGTCTTTAATTATTATCTTTCGAATTTGTACAATTTAATGGAGATTTAATTGAATTTTTTAATCCCAAACTCCTTCATCAAATTATAATGTATGGCTTATCACTTACCACTGTCATTAAATATTTTGAATTAGTTTTTCATAAAAATGAAATACTTCAATCATGGTTTTATGTTATTAATTTTCTATTTCATATCACTATTTTTGAAATAAAGGGTTGCTGAATGCCAAACTGAAAATCAAATGGGTGCCGCTAATTTGGGTACAATGTTTGCTCCAACTGTTCTACGTCAAAGGCCTAAGTAATTCTCTTTAAGTTTTATTCTTTTCATACTTCATTCGCTTTTGTATAATGGCTTATTGATAGGAAAATATCTGATAAATTTACTTGAATTATAGTTAACGTTTATCTCATAAATTACATCACTTTAGACAACAACTAGTGTATTAAAAGTGAGAAAATCAGTGGCTGAATGAATTTTGCAGTCGAAGGTTTTCACGTTTGCTGATCACTAATCACAGAAACTTCCATCAAAACTTTATGTTAATCAGACAGTATATTAGACTGGCACGCTATATATATATATATATATGTTTATAAAGAGTTGAATTCCTATTTTTACTAATTAACTGATGACTAATACTGAGCATACAATAGATTACTGAAATGCTTGTTTAATGCGTTATTTTATCATCTTAATGAATGTATAAATGAATGAATGAATTATCAGTGTAATACACAGAAAGATTTTGGTAGAATCTAAAATCTTTTTACGGTATAACGTCAGAAGTTATCATCAAAATAGGATATACGGAAGTGGTATTTGTAACTGAATAATTCCACTGAACTTCTTTTCCGTAATTCACAAACTTTACATATACTGTAAACCGCTTAAAATGAGAAAAAACTCTTAGAACCTACACATAGTTTCTCAGTAGATGACACTTAACAAGCCGTCATCACAATCCGTGTGTAACTGTAGTACAAATTATAGATGTTTAAAATGTCTCACCATTGTAACTTGATATTTTGACAGCTAGACATCTTTATATACAAACTGCCTCTGCTATATGACAAGTCTTATAACATCGTAGCATCCTAAAATAATCTATTATCATCACAACCAGCCTTTGGATCCAATTTTGTGGCTACAACATTATATGCAGTCGAGCTCATGTCATTAAGGTTAGAGTTAATTTGGAAATATATAATAAGCATGAATACCTCTTTTGTAATACTCCCACATCACATTATTCACAAAATTTTCCAAAAGCTAATTACAGACAACCTCAGAAGTGCATACAAACTTAATTTGTTTGGTTTTCTCTATACATTAATTTATAGATTCCAAGTTGCTAATATGATGGAGTTCATGGACAATAAAGGACAAACAAAAGTTGTTGAACTACTTATCGATCGTGTTTTCCATGTATTTGGCTCACCCGAACAATATGATCCCATAAAATTGATCATATCTCATATAACGTCGGATTCTGAAAAAGCCGTAATTGCTGATTATAATCGAATGCAAACAGCGCGTGGTAGTATATCATTAGCTGGGTGCGAACGCTCTAAGTCAACGTCTGGTACAGTTTCAGATGAATTATCTGAATTGGGAGGAAGTTTGATAAATAAAACTGAATTAAAAACTACCACTAGTGCCTCTATTCCTACGACAACCTCTATTACTGGGACATCCAGTGGTAATATTCCTTCGAATATTAACAATAAGGGAAACGCATCTACACAACCATCATCTGGCTTACTGAGGTCAGCCACTATATCTGTGTCAAGTCATACTCGAGCAGCAGGAAGTAAGTATTTTCAGCATAAAATATTAAACATTGATCAATATGCACTTATCGAATTTAATTAGCTCAAGCAAATAACTGCTGTACAAAGAATAGGACACAGTCAACTATTAAAACTAACTTTTACTTCGTTCACAATTGACCTTGAAGAGCAACCTTACAAGAGATGTGACTGATTTCAAACTAAATTTAGTCAGAAAAGATATCTGTCACAGAAACAGTGAAACCAAAGAACACTATGTCTTGCTGGAAATTAGGTTAAATTATTGCAGAATGTTTAAGGAAAAAGACTTCAAACCTCAAGTAAACTGCTAGATTAAGGTTGTGCTATAAACAAGTGACAAAGTATTACTTAGCGCTAAGAAATAGGACAAGTGAACAGTTGATTTGCAAACCGATTCCTATAGCCAAAAACAACTAATTAGCTTTAGTCTATGAAATTATAACACCGTTCGATTACATGTTCAGGACGTTATCCACTAGGTTACTGTATCAAGACGGCTGCATCCTGTTCAGTAGGTATTAATGATGTGCTGGGATGTTTCTAACCTTCCAGCTTATTGGGATAAAAAAATGAAGTAGTCGGTTTCTCTTGGCCTACAAACTCCTTGTATGAACTCCAGATATGCGTTCAACATCTGATCACAAACAATATTCAGGTGTTTGTACAAGAAGTTCATGTGTTAACAGAGACCAGTCTATTGAACTTTATTTAAGACTAGACAGATTATTTGAACATTTCGTTAATTTATCACTCATTGTTTTTTCATTTTCACCCTTCTCTTAGCAACAGATATTACGAATCGCCATCAGCTAAAAAACAAATGAAACTGACGAACGGAACCACTAAACTTTTGAAACACTGATGTAAAGTCTTACCAGTAATTGAGGTGATCAGTGAAGTTAAATTTTAAGAATAAAATCGGATGATTATTACAAAGGTGTAGAAGTTGGGAAGCTTATATTTCATTCGACAGTACTAATTAAGCGTCGGAATTATAACGTGATCAGGGTTAAATCTGGCAGTGCTAAACAGACAAGTGCAAATAATCACAAAACAGATTTTAGGCACTTCATTTTCTTTTTTTTATCTCGCTGATGTCAGTCAGCTCGTTACAAAAACTGCTTCAGTGAATATAAATTATTCTTAGACATTTTAGAATGAATAATTAGTTTGCTTGAATTTTTGTCTGTGTTATTACAAAATTTTGACAGAAGCAACTCTTCATTTCCCCATCTGCCCACCTAGCAGCAGCATAATTCCATACCATTTAGCTGAATCTTGTTGACTTTGCCCTAGGTTCTTAGGTGTATTGATAAGGAACTGGAATGAAAAGAGAACCAATCAATGTCTTATGGTTCAAATGTATCTGAAAAATATTAAAAGATCAAGACTGTTGAAATCTCTGGTACTCTAGACAAACTAAATACACTACATTTTCCTGGTTCGAACCGAAAATCTGTAATTTCATCAGTTTTCACTACATACTAGTTGAAGAGACCTTATATGTTTCCAGGGTAATCTACCTGCAGCTAACAGTGATTGTCGATTAATGTGGCTTGTACGTGGCACGTTACCTAGCCTCCCTCACTGACGACGCTTCATAAACTGGGTGACCAGTTGTCGTCCTCAGCTATCACTCTACTAATTATATTGGGCTGACAGTAAAAGACATGTTAATTATTTTAAAAGATATACAGTTATCGTTGAATTCAGATTTTGATGCAGTTATTCTGACGTATTGAAGTAGTCTGGCAACTTATTTTATTGTGTTCTGTCAGATATTGAATAAGTGAATTGAAAGACTTATAGCCAAAATCATTTCTCTCTCCATATTTCTAAACAGGAGCTTTTTTTCAAATTTATTAACAATAGACAAATCTTTAATGCCGGCTAAATTTATACTTCACTTCATACGAGAAGCAATAGGACAGTTATTCAGTTTACATTTGTATTTATTGAGTCTAATTATGCTTTGATGTAAAATTCTTTGAAAATATAGTGTGAAGACAACTATCTATGTGAGTTATGATTTAAATTCTCTTCATTACTTATCTAATTAGCTCTTCTTTCTGGAGCACTACCATTATATACACCATTTCGATCAAATCAGCCATCTCCTAAAGAAACTGAAGAAAGTAGTAATACTGTTAACACAAATGTCACAACTACTTCAGTACATACTGAAGATAAAGTTATCACTTCACGAATAGACACCACACATGGAAAACAGAATCCTTCAGCATCTGAAAAGTTAATCAATATTAGAAGTAGTGTTCGACTACAAGATTTGGCGAAAACAACTGGTGATCCAAGTAGTAACGTTACGTCGCATACTTCTAGTGTTGTGACTAGTGGTACTAGTGGTGGGAGTGAATCGTCTTCTATTGTACGCGGTATTAAAAGGCTATATTCTACAGGCAATCAACACTGCACATCATCAACAATATCCATGACGTCGAATGCATCTTCAAAGCTATTTTCTTCCTCTGATAAACAGCACCCTTCAACTTTAAAGTCAACTGCATCGAATAGTTCTTCTTCAACCGCGGATTCACACACAAACACCACTTTATCAAGTTTGGTGATAGGCCGCCGTAAACCTCTTGGAAGACTGCTGACTGTACACCAGTCTACAGAGGCTTCGTCTGATACTGCACCCACTTCAAATCCATTAGATTTAGACCAATACAGCTTTATTGACAATGACCTATCCGGTAAGAATGCTCACTTTCACTTTTTATTTTCTTTGAAATTTGGAGGTATTATATAAAGTATCTTGATTTTATGTAAGGTTGATAAAGTGTCACAGTACTACATACCGGATGTCTGCGTAAATTTGACTAGTGCTCATATTTCTTACTGACTCTAATTAATCAAGTGTGCGCAGAACAGAATCAGAGCATCACCTGAAATAAATTTGCTTCCATTCACCAGGTAAAGTATTCTGGAGGAATACACACCTCTGGTTATAATGCATGGTAAGTGAAGTTTAATAGATGAATGGGCTAAATGTCTTAAACAAGAGAGATCTTTAAATCATTTTGTGAAGGAAACAGTAACCATGTTCGATAAGTTAACTCAAGCGAATGGATAATCTCATACAACCTTTTACTTTTTGGTGCCACTGTTTAATCTGCATGAAATCCTATTTTGAAATTATAACATCCTACTTTGCTCTGCAAGTAATTTCAAAGTTATCCAGAGTAAGCGGAACTTGAAATGAGTGACTTTACAATAGAAACGATAACTGAACTTCCTTAGTTACTCAAGTTGCCTATGTTTTTAAAGTGTAAGATAATTAATTAAATCATTAGTAACAATTAAAGAGGTCTAATGTGAATAGCACAGATAATGAAATGAAACAAAACGTACTTTAAATCCATAATCTGATACTAAAGTAATATTTGATTTATGACAGAATTCAAAACATCAATTATTCGGAATCAGCTACACAACCCTGATGATGTCCAATTTTACCTTAATTCACTTGACTGCTATTAACAGCTGAAGACTAACCTTCGCAGAAACCATAATGGTAGCTAAACAGCTAGTTTTGTATTATTTAGATAATAACGGGTTGGAATTATGAGTGGGCTAGGAGAAACAACGACCTAATCTGTACTCGTATCTCTTAACGCAAAGGTGCCTAGTTCAGATTATGCAAGAGCTCTAGCTTTCATCCATTTTAACTAGTTACATCCTCATCAAAAGATAACCTTTCTGTATCTGATGGGTTAATGACCAAGTGTCTTTCCTATCATATGTATCATTCGCAGTCTACTAATAGTTTAAAACCACTTTTCCAATTAATAGTAAGCAGATATATTTTACTACTATCATTTATGTTGTTGGCGGTTTTTCACTTATGTTCTCAGTTCTACCTCACTTTCTTATTATAAGTGATTATCCTATTCTAGTACACAAATGGTAATTCATGTAACCCCTACTAAGTCTGCTTTTTTACCTAGTCTACGATGGAGAAGATGCCACAAAAGACGTTGAGCACACTACATTATATTCAGAAGGATAACTTCAGCTGACGTGGTATCCAAGATCCTAATACTCGTAGTACTATAAATAACACGTAGAGCTCGGGATTACTAAACTCTATGAAATCAGTTAGGTTTCAGGCTTCAATGAAGGTGAAATCTCTCCTCTTTGACGGATGCTGGAACACGGACCCATTTTCTGTTGGCTCACACTCCCTGTATTTCTCAAACTGATAGAGATATCCAACCATATCCACTGAGAATTGTCGTAGGAACGTTTGGCTATGGTGCAAGCACCATTAGGGGCATTAAGCTGATGACGGCGATACACCCAACCGTGTGGAAGCCCATAGTGATTAGCCATCTTAAGTGACAACAAACATTTGTGCGTACTAAGAATATCCTTTGTCACCGTTTGCATTTAAATTAACTCCAGATGTATTCACGAACATGACAGTTAGTGACTTCGATGTTTCAGGGATTGATCTACTACTGCGGAAAGATGTCGTTGATCTCAACTATTTTGGTGGAGTCGTATTCACAAAATGCAGAATCTTTTAAACATCTTGTTTAAGAGTTGTGTGTGTTTGGTATTTAATTCATCCCTGTAAAATGTTAGACAGTGCTGTAGGTTTGATCTAATCTATATTCGGGACAACTATATGCCTTCTTCATTAATTACTCTACTAGTGATAATATATTTATTCATTCTGTCATCTTCGTTTATGCGCTTCCTCGAAGTCTGACACTTCAGAATCTTGCGTATCTATTCAAAATTTTACGTCAGCCTATCAATGAATCACCTTATTACTTACATGTTTTTCTGTTACTGATCCTATTAACTTCTGTAAATAGGTCGAGGAGTTAAAAACGTCTTTCAGTTTGTTTGGTGACTAGCTCTGTTGCGATAAGGAATTCATATATGGTCTCTAATATATGTTTCCAGTGTTGGAACACATCCTTTGACGCTTTGTACTTTGAACATTTCTTATCAGTTTATTAATCTAGTTTATTTCATACAAAACTATTTTAGCCCGATTCCTGGGAGACTTGCTACATGCACCAACCCACGGTCTTTCTTGATAAATAGTGTTAAGTGAAGTAAGGCCAGGCTGAAAAGAGTTAGAAGTGATCACACAAAATCATAGCAACAATGAATGCAGTTACTCATTGTTGATTTGCCCATGCAAGGTGTAGACATTTCGTTTGGTGCAGTCGACATATTGAGGATCAATGCCTACACAGTTTTAGCAGTGTGGTTCAAAATGCTTTCCAGTAGTACAGATATATCAATTCATTATAATCCATCAGAATCTGAAAATATTCTATTATCTTCATCTAATTATTCTCTCCTCGCATAATTTCGTCTACTCTAGTTTCATTAAGTATGTTTTCTGTACTCATGTGTGCTATTTACTTCTGTACTCTGATAAGCTAGTCTGCCAACAGTGAAAACTCAAAAGTTATTCATTTATGGCAATAAATAGTAGCAATAAAATGAGTAGTGAAGAGGAAGCTAGTACAAGTTTTAGACGAGTGGATTCCTGCCAACTGATTCCTAACGCCTGGCAGTAAACATAGTATATTCCATCTCCATGTGAATTCGCTAAATTAAATGTACTTAAGAATCGGTCAGTGAACATTTTTCTGAAATCAAAACTTAACATCTAAATCAGTTACTTATGCATACAACAAATAACCTTATGTGAGAATATCTAAACCATTCAAACAAGCTTTAGACTTTCATCAGCAACTGCACCCTGTCGATACTGAAAATCAGATAAACAATAAGCAACTCTATCAGGCAGAGGACGAAATGAAGAACCCATTGTCGAAGAACAAATATGCAGAAGTAGACGGAGGTGGATTAGATATACAATGAGAAGACAGGTACCATCACTCCCACTAAGATCACGTGAAGAGGAAATGAAAGCCAGTCAGCAGCTTTAGAGCCATCTGGAAATGAGAGCAGAGAACAAAGCAAAAGGGAGGTGTGCTACTGAAGGAGTATGTACTACTCGTAACGCAAAGAATGCATGATAACTATCATTATGTGTAAACGCTGGCAATTATATTGATAACTATGAGTCATCCAAGCGCCATTTAACTCTCTGAATGCCTCTTTCAGCAGTAACAACAAAATAATGAGATCTGTTCTATTTTGGCTTTTTAGTGATTACCTATATGTAGACTTTGGGGCATACTGTTCCGTAATGTTTTTTATTAAATAATTCACACATGGTTGATGGTTGCAACTTTCAGAAGTCATCTGAAGCATCATGCCTACATGACTTCGTTCAAACTGTATCGAATGTATCTGTTTGAATAAGTATGTGGAATATTTCTTGTCAGCTATTAGCTAAGTGTATGCCTACAGGCTAGGTTTATGTGGTAAATATGTGAATGTGCTAGCGTATGTGACTTATTTGATCACGCTAATTGTACCAAAAAAGCCAAGAATGAGTGATATGATAGACGATCCACAGAGTAATTCTCTGTCGGTTTGACCTTGATATAATATTAACCGGCCACATAAAACGCCCTGAGGAAAGTTAACAACCATAAGTAACAGATAACTTTTAAATTCCAAATAAATTGTAAGCCTAAACTCCTCAGTCACCGATTTTCTAAGCCCTAATAAACTCACACATTCCTTAATGTCAGGTGATTATTATATTCTTATTTATTTTGAAGTGGAATTATTGCTAAGCTGTGTACATTTGGCAAAGTTAAATAACCTGATGGTTCCTTTGCAAATGTTAATGCCTTCCTTGTCACCGTGGTCAACGAGAATCAAAATCACCAAATATTGTCACAAGAAGGGTGACCAAATTATTATCAGAACTGGCCTCACTAGACCTATATCTTGTCTCTGTTGGCAATACAGATGCTCTTAAGACACAATAAGGCCTAGTTGATAACCTTTTGTTTTTTTAAACTATGGCTACTAAGATCGGGTCTCAGTGGGCACACCACTGACTGAATATTAAAGTACATCCAGCTGACAAGTCCTAAAAAGGACTAAACACGCCTTTTGCATCCCACTTTTGGTCATCATCAGCTAATTGACAAGAGAAATCAAAGTTGGGCTTTCATGCTAAGAGCTTTCTAATATCCGAAAACTTTGTAAAAACATGGATATTAGGATAAATTATAGAGTACTTCTGGGTGGCTATTTCAGTATAAGATGTTTGAAGCCATGTCCTAAAAATAAAGTCTAGTCTTTGTGTTCAATTAGCGCAAAATGACAGTAACAGTTGGTGTATATCTACTAGTTAATAGCTATAGTCGAATAATTTGTGATGTCAATCTTCAAAGTATTTCGATGAGAGTTCCTAAGCTTTCTGGATATTCTCTCTTGATAATTTAAGATGTACTTTATTTAGGAAGAAGTTACTGCTATAGACTTTTTTGCAAATACATCACATATCATATGATACTGCAACAGAGTAGTCATAAAGTTACCGGAAGTTCTTACTGGCAAGGTTTACATTAGAAGAATATTAAGCAACTACATTTCGCTATAATATTTTGACGACATTTGTTTATTGTAAAAAAAATATTATGAATCAATTACTTATTAGTAATATAAACATGTTCCACTTGTGTGTTATTTTTTACTGTCATCTAGATTCTCCAAACGGTTAACGCTGCTACTTAAGAGTGCTTAAAACTACATAATACTGTTATCCAGTCAACAAATACACTTACAATATAAAGCCCTATGTTTGTCTTCCTGATTCGTTATAAAGAATCACATGGTTTCCATTTTCAGTTGGTCAGCATATATATATATATATATATATATATATGCACTTATAATTTATGAACACTATCCTATTGTCTTTGTTTATTTTACTTCGATTCACATTCATCAGCTGAGAAACGTCATACACATGTTACTGCTAAATTCTCGTTTATCGATGTTTTCCTGTAATATAAAACTCTACAGCTCTCTCTCTCTCCCTGTTTTTCTCTTTCACACCATCTGATCAAACAAGACAAGATTTGTGCATTAAAAAGTTAATCAACAATCTCCTAAACTGAGATAAAACTTTCTTGTGTATTTTCACTTGGTTTTTTTTCTAATTAAAGAGAATATTTTTCCATCAACTTATACATTTAAAACGAGATATATTTTATTTTAAGCCAAGAAATATGTGCGTGTGTGTGTATGTGTCAAAGACACTTTTCTCTTCTTTTTTTCTCAAATGTTACAATACATGTATTTTATCAAAAGAGAAAATAACTTTGAAATTTTATGCATCGTTAATGTATTATTTAATGATATTAGTCATTGTTATTACTATTATCGTCGTTATTTGCATTTTACTCATTAATAAATATTGATCTGCCTTCAACTTACTGTTTCCTGCTTTCGCTGTTCTAAACATTACCTAAACTTCAGCTTATATTGCACATGCTCGCATAAACCAAATTATTCCATTTTCTGAGACAATTACAGATGATATTGGATTGAAATAGATATACTGTTTTTTCCATAGGCTGTTTTATTTTCTATTCTACTATGTTATAATAATACTTGAATTGAGTCAGTTATCATAAATTTCTGAGTTATTTATGCTGTTGTTCAACATTTCAACTGCACATATTTTATTTTGATTGTTCTGTTGCTGACTCTTATCTTCTGAACTGTTTTTCTTTTTGTGGTATCATTTGAATTATTAACGCTAGAATGATTATCATACCTATTCTTTTGTTTCTCGAGTCTAATCTATCCACCCGTTTAATGTATACTGTGACAAACACAGTATGGTGCCGAAAAGGAAGTTTGAATAAAAAATAAGTAAGCAATAATAATAACTGCTATTATCTGGAGGCTGCTTCTTTTCTTGAGACGCTAATAAAAAATTTACATTTTTTCTAGTCATTTTATATACATTATCAGACCAAAACTGTCCAATCAACATCTTATTTTAGACCAACATTTAAAACAATCAGTGTTCAGTAACAGAGAAAAGTACAGCTAGTAGAATGCTCAGTGTTTTAAAATCTGACTTAACAGTAATGATGATTTGTGTGCTTTATCTGCAACTTATTCATAGTGCCTATAAAACTTCCAACAAAAGTAACTGATCAAAATAAAAATCGGCACTAAATAAATGTATCTTCGAATCAGTGTGAAACCATATTTATGTTTACATTATTGCACAATCTTTTTTTGATTAGAGCTTGATTCTGCATCGTATTTTTTGGTACAGGTATGGAATTTTCAGCATGTGATATCGGTAGCCCAAATTTTGCAGGCCTACTATAGATATCAGGTGTTCGTCGGCAAGGGATCGAACCCCGGACCATTCGCATGGTGGATGAGAGTCCTAAACGCTGTGCCACCGACGCACATTATATAAAAAGTCATATATTTCTTCAATTAATTTCTGGATAAGAAGAACGCACCAGTTGGTATGGTCACAGTGAACACAGATTTCGCCTGGACACCACCAACATTCTACGCCTACTAGACAAAATTCCCACTATTAAGAACACACTGAGATAGCTGGAAAAAAATATATTTACACATTAACGTATGATTTTAAAAATCTCCAAGGATATGGCAGTTAGTCTACAACCATGATAGTTTAAATAGTGAGTGTTATTTTATGCAGCCCAATTCTAATTGCTTTATTTTTAGACTGGACATTGGTCACCATATCATAAACTGCTAGCAGTCAGCTTCATTTGCATGTACATACTAAGTGTTTCAATCCCTCGAAATGGATAAATATGTACTACTTCTATTATTTTCAGTTGTTTTAAGCCTTACTGCTATTCTGAAAGCGAAGGTCTATGATCACTAAGTGACTTTCATAGTGTGAATTACGTCTCGATAAGTTCTTCATCAAAGATGTTTTCAATAATATGTAGTACTTTTATTCTTTTATGCGTGTTCAGAACTTGGTTTCAGTGATTAGGCGCTTAACAAACCTATTGATAATCTGAATTCTCTTTATTTCATCAAATGTTACACATATGTGGGCTAACAGGGAGTTACAATAAAATGAGGCAATAAAATATAACATTCACAGTATGTGTAGGGGCGATTATCTTGCATGTCCTTTTTTTGAAGTGGTGCCACTTTTGGCCGGTGAGTTCTAAGCACTTTAATAAGTAGGTCAAAATATCCCAGCATGTTTTCGTGAAAATTCGATAATTTACGTTTAACTTTTGAACCTTCTGTATCTTTTAATCCGTTACATTGAGCAGATACCAGCATCAGGTGACATTTCCTGATAATACTGCAAAAAATGTAATGCATTTTAAGAACATGATGCCACAGATAATATGTAAGCCAGAATAAATTTCATTCATGAAACATACAAAAAATTCAACTTGTCATTAAACGACTATAGCAACAGACTACGAAGCTACGATTAGTGGGGATATGCAATAAAGCCATTCTTATTTGTGCATTCTATATTTCATATTCACAGCTACCCTCCATTTCGTTCTGTTGCATTGTTGACTTAAAAACTGTCATACTGTATTCTACTCAACACTCGACTGTATTAGAACAAGACATATTAGCGAAAATATTGTTTTCAATCAGATCTTCTTCAGGCTGTACTCTAATTTACATAGATTTATACATAAAAATTTTAACCAATGACGGTGGTTTTGTGGATCAAATAATAATATTAATAATGTGGTAAATGTTTTGAACTTAGTTAATAACGATGATTACAATGATAACAAAATATTGATAATAAGGTTTATGCAGGTGGCAATAAGGATAACGAAGGTAGTAATATGTGTATATGTAGACAGTAAATAAAGCAGATCAAATCTCATTTTTGTGCCAATCATATACAAAATCGATTTGGTCATATGCCTTACGAACAGAGCAAGATGGATCTGTACATATGACTCCCTAGAAAATGAGTTAGGATACATCCGCAATACACTGATCTAAATGGGTTATACTAGTAGCTTTGTAAAGAGACGCATGAAGATCAGGTATAATAAAGAAAAACTGACAATAGTTAGAAAGAAACAACTGTTCCTAAAATTTCAAACTTGGCTAGTGAAGTCTCACGTCTAAGATTATCGACAACGATAAAGCGGACTTAGAACTGTCGCTTTATTTTAATACTATTATTTATTATTTTTCAACCCACCAATTATGACTGCTAAAGCCAAAGACAAGCTACCTAGCTGTGCCATTTCTATATGTATCTACAAATTTAGTTGATCCTGTGGAGAAAGCTATGTAAGGCTAACAACTAGACAGCTCGACAAACGTATTAGTGAATATCTTCCTTCATGATTCGGAAAAGGCCTGTTTTGACTCATTTGATTAATGGCGGCAACCAAGTGGACAGAAACAGTGCCTTCAAAGTAATCTATCGCATTCCATCAAGCCTTTGGGACAGAATTCGAACCCGCCCTTTACACATAGCCGAAGCTATGGGAATTCGAGAGAACAATTCTAATTTTTGCATACAAAAGAAGTTTGTTTTACCTTCGCCTTGTTACCAGAAGGTCCTAGATTCGAATCCCGGTGGGTGCGCACTGATGAAGAGTCCCAACCTAGGACGAAACAGCTGTCCAGTACTCCCAGGTTTTACAGTGGTTCTCTAACTAATGTCAGCCCATGATGAGATCCTGTAACCAATCAAATCCCTACAAACCAACACTTGAATATTTATCACATTATTAATATTATTATTATTTGATCCACAAAACCACCGTCATTGGTTAAAATTTTTATATATAAATCTATATAAATTAGAGTAAAGCCTGAAGAAGATCTGATTGAAAACAATATTATTCGCTTATATTTCTTGTTCTAATAATAGGAATATTTAAAGACAACTGTATCTTGGTTGAGTTGGGATGATCAGAAACGTACTTTTTCCTAGATACTACACATGTTTTGATGAATCCCCAAAGACCAAAATTTTAACTTGAAATTCTATGAAATGTTATTTTCAGATAGGTAGGAGACCACGTCATCTGCTTTATTAGGGTAAAGGCTTCAGGTTTAGATTATCTATTAAGTCCCAAAACTAACTGAGAAAATTGTTCATCTACAGTTTACTGAACAGCATTCAGTGTATTGCAGACGATTTGTTAACAAATCTAAAAGAAGTTGGATGGCCTACGAGCCCACTAGCCTTTTTTTATTTTATGATTTTTTTTATTTTTGATTACAGCTTGACCCCCACACCGTACTTTTGGTAGAAGTATGGAGTTTTCAGCGTGGATATCGGTAGCCCGAATTTCGCAGGCCGACCACAGATATCAAGTGTGCGTCGGCGAGGGCTCGAACCCCGGACCATGTGCATGGTCAGCGAGAGTCCTAACCACTGTGCCACCGAAGTGTATGTAAAGTTTTGAAATGCGTGCTGTTATAAAGAACTTTTAGATGCAAAGTTTGTAGATGACTAACTGAATTGTCAGCGTAGAAACTGGACCAGAATTTCGGGCGTTGGAGCTAGTTGTTCAGGCAAAGGCAGTGGACACGATTTCGGTGCTTATTTTGCTCTTGTTGGATGAATTTGTATAAAAATTGTTGTTCGATATTGTTTTTGAGCATTAACTGATTGCTTGTGTGACAGGACGCTTAAATACATGGTTCATGCGATGATTATTTGGTATACCGAGTAAGCTTCACGTACATTCTGACG